TTATCGGGGGCACGCATGGAGGCCGCAGATGTGGAGGTCACGTCGGGCTCGGCGACAAGCTGCATCCACCAGCGACGGGTCTTACGCGACGAAGAGAAGCGAGTCTTACGGGATATTACATACATACATACATCCATACATACATGTATATATATACAGACAGACAGACAGACAGACAGACAGACAGACAGACAGACAGACAGACAGACAGACAGACAGACAGACAGACAGACAGACAGACAGACAGACAGACAGACAGACATACGTACATACATACATACAAACAAACACGCATGCATACATACAGCTGACTGCATGTATGCATGTATGCATGTATGCATGTGTGCATGTGTGCATGTGTGCATGTATGCATGTATGCATGTATGCATGTATGCATGTATGCATGTATGCATGTATGCATGTATGCATGTATGTATACATGTATGCATGCATGCATGCATGCATGCATGGATGCATGCATGCATGGATGCATGTATGTATGTATGTATGTATGTATGTATGTATGTATGTGTGTATGTATGTATGTATGTATGTATGTATGTATGTATGTATGTATGTATGTATGTATGTATGTATGTATGTATGTATGTGTATATACATACATACTATATGTACATCTATGGCATGGCGACCTTCTGCGGTGGCTTGCGCGGGCCGCCAGCGCGGCACGCTACACTGGCAGTGAGGGCGCCCGCGGGCGACCTTGCGCGGGCAGCTTGCGCGCCAGTCTCGGCGCAATCGAGCCACGGCTCGCTCAGCTCCGGTGGGGGCTCCGCGCCGTCCATCAGCGCGAGCAGCGCCCCCGCGGAGCTGGGCGATCGCTCCAGGCGCACGGGCCCCAGCGGCGCGCGGCACCCCGCCTGCCAGGGACGGTCTGAGGCGCGCACTGCGCGCGGCCCTCTCTCTCGAAATCCGCGCGCTCGGGCACTGGAGACCCTCACGGCAGCGATCCGGGGAAGTGCACTTCCAGGTTCAAGGGGCCCAAGGACACACACACACAAAAAGAATACACACACAAATTTCAGGATTCCTCATCTTTTCCCGTATGTCTTGGGCTCTTGTCTCCCCCCCCACATTTCCCATATTTTACTATATTTTCCTGCGGATCGTCGATTGATTGTGTCTGCGTGGTTTTGTCCTCCTCTCAGGTCGGTTGCTGACCCGTCCAGCCGGACAGGCTTCGACGCAGAAGCCGGCGCCCATCGCGCCCGAAACGCATACTCAGCGCAGGCGAGGCCAGCAGCTGCAGGGCAGGCCTGTGGTGCAAAAGGGCCGGCTCCGGTTGGATGCGGCCAGCGGGTCTGAGACCTGAGAAAATCGGTCAAGAGGGGGAAGTGGAAGCAAATTCGCCACAAATCGGCCCCCGTGGGGTCCATCCTGCCGTGTTTTTCGAGCTGCGCCCAGCCTTGGCACAAGGGAAGCCCTGATCCCCCGTTCTGCTGGTCAAAACAACCCAAACATGCGACATCCGGATCTTTTCAATAAAAGGTCCGTGGAAGTCCCGACCCTTTCCCTGGGACCAGGAGGAACACGCGAGCGTGCGAGCGAGGAGCGGGGACGGGGACGGGGACAAGGAGGAGAAGGAGGAGGAGGAGGAGGAGGAGGAGGAGGAGGAGGAGGAGGACGAACAACACGCGAGCGAGCGAGGACGGGGACGAGGAGAAGGAGGAGGAGGAGGAAGAGGAGGACGAACACGAACAGCGAGCGAGCGGGCGGGCGAGGAGCCGAAGACGCGCGGGCCTCGAAGTCGGACGTGCCGTCCCGCCTCTCGCCGTGCCGCCTCTGCTCGGCCATGAGCTCCGAGACGGCGGCCTCGGGGGGCGCCGCGGGGGGGCGAGCACGGACTGGCCTCCCTCCCCGCTCCCTCTCCACACTTGCACAATATGAATACTACTTTCCTCTCTCCCACGATGACGCCCAGAGGATGTTCGGCCCCCCTCCGCGTACTGTTTTTACACACAGGATTCCCGGGAACTGGGTTTTCGGTTGGGCTGCTCTTCAAGAGGCGCCCAAGACGACCCAAGAGGACCCCACGAGAGGCCCAAGAGGGGCCCATGACAGCCCCGAGACGGCCTATGGAGGCCCCGAGACGACCTCAGGCGGCCCAAGATGTTCTCCAGACGGCCCCATGAGCCCCAAAGACGCCCCCGGACGATTCCAGGCGAGTCCAACGGGTCCCCCGAAAGGGTTCCTTCAAGCTAAAGTCGTCACATTCCTTCGTAAAGCTGACATGTTCAGCAGATTCGGCTTCTTGCTTTTCGAAGCGTCCACAACGGCCCCAGAGGCTTCCAAGATCGCCCAAGACGGCCCCCACGAGGGCCCAAAGATGGCTCCAGACGGGCCCATTTCTGCCCAAGAGGCGCCCAAGATGACCCAAGAGGACCCCACGAGAGGCCCAAGAGGGACTCAGGACAGCCCACGATGGCCCCAAGACTGCCCGATAGGCGCATAAGACGGCCCCAAGACGGCCCCAAGACGGCCAACGAGGCGCCCTGCTGGCCCAAGAGGGCTCCGAGAAGCTCCCGAGGAGCCCAAAACAGCCCCCATAGAGCTCCCAAACGGCTCCCAAGAAGCTTCAACATTGCTTCCAACAGAGGGGGGCGGACGAGAGGCGAGAGGCCCCTCGCAGGCGCAACAAAACAAAATGTACGCTCCGGTGGCCCTGGGGCTGCCCCGCTGCGCTCCCTACTTTGCCGCGACGCCGTTCTGACGCCTCCGACGCGGCCCGAGACGGCGCCGCGTTTGCTCGAACCTGCTCCCACGTCCGCCGCGATCCCGGCGCGAATCTTCCAACGTTGCTCGGGCCTGGACTCCTGAATTTCTGCCTCTTGCGAAGCTCGAACACTTCGGCACCCGTGTCGATGTATTGGGCGCCTTGGGTGGGGGAACAGCACTAGAACAAGCTTCAAGGGATCTACGGCAGTAGCTGGCAGCGTCGCAGCACCCAGCGCGCGCCACCATGCTTCGATTCGCCCAACTTCGTGGATTTAATCCACGGGTCCACACTAGTGTGTGTATATGTGTATATATATATATATATATATATATATATATATATATATCCATATCCATATCCATATCCATATCCATATCCATATCCATATCCATATCCACCGCCCGCCGAGGTCCTCAGAAAAATTGCTCCTCTGGGCTGTGGTCATGTAGAAATTCCCGCCTCGGACGCACCTCAGAGCCTCTTGGAGCCCTCTTGGGGCTCATTGGGAGCCTAGTGTATCGTGGGCAGTCTTGGGGCTGTCCGGGGCCGTCTCGGGGCGCTCTTGGACTCTTCTTGAGCGCTTCTCGGCAAACCTTGGGGCTTCTTCGGGTCGTTTTGGGTGGGGTCACCGTCCCGGAGGGCCACGCAACAAACCCCACGAGTGCCCAATGATTCGAGGGAGCGCCCGAGAATTCGAGGGAGCGCCTTGCCAGCGATCTCGGCGTTGTCCCACGTCTTCCAGACCTGCTCGGGCGGCGCGAGGGCGGCGGGGCCGGCGCGCGCGCGCGGCCCGAGGCCGTGGGCCTCGCGCCGCTGGCGCCGGTGGAAGCAATCGGGTGGCGCAGTTGATGCAGCCTCCTCCTCCTCCTCGTTGATTCGGTGCACCTCCTCCTCCTCCTCCTCCTCCTCCTCCTCTTCCTCCTCGTTAATTCGGTGCACCTCCTCCTCCTCCTACTCCCCTTCCTCCTCCTCCTCCTCCTCCTCCTCCTCCTCCTCCTCCTCCTCCTCCTCCTCTCCTCGGCCGCGGGGCGCCATGTTCGCAAGGTTTTAAAGAGTGATGCAGAACCAGGGCCAGGCTCACGGCGAGGTTCCTGTACTGTGATGCGGGGAACCGAAGGGTAGGAAATCACGAGCCGCACTTCCCTACAATTCCAGTCTGCGAGTGGATCGAACGAAGACGACACAACGAATGGTAGGAGAGCACGAGCCACGCGTTCTGGCAATACCAGAGCCCGCCTCGCCGTTGCCTACATCGCCGTTAGCCCGTCTACGGCAGAAGCCCACTGGAGAGATGCCGTCTAAGGTCTGAGCTCAGACGTACGGCCAGGAACTTTGGCGTAGCGTGTCGCTCCGCGGTTCTGGCCCACAACGCTTTTGGCGCGACACGCTGACCACGCCCTGGCGCGTCACCGTCCCGAGCCTCTCCCAGCCTCCAGCCCCGCGGAGCGGAGCGACACGCTGTCCGCTCGCAGGGCCCAGCGTGCCCGCAAGGGCCGCCGCCGCGACACGCCAAGCACAAGCTCCCGACTGCAGGGACCTGGACTCGGGAGCGAGGCCCAGTTGTGCCCAGCTCTGCGGGGAGTGGCCAGGTGAGAGCACCGCGCAAGGTCTGAGGAGCACCAGGGCCCTGCCGAGACCAGAACGGACTTCATCCGAGCAAGCTCCCCCTCCTGCTCCTCCCCCTGAGGCGCAGAATGGCTTCGCCGAGCCGTGCGCCCCGCCGCTGGCGCAGGAGGCGGTGCGCGCTGGCATGGCGGAGGAGACGGAGCTGAGGTGGGCCGTGGGGTTCATGAGGGCGCAGGTGCAGCGGCTGCCGCCCATCGCCCCCCCGACCTGCTGCAGATGTCACTCGGTGACCTGCGCGACTGGGAGGCCGTCAAGCAGATGGAGCAGAGCATCGCGGCCCCCATGGACGACATCTCGGAGGTGGGCGAGTCTGAGTTTGGTGACCATCATCGTGATGAGTTGGATCAGCTTCGCAATCGGTCACTGGAGCAAGCACTCACCGAGCCCGAGCGGAACCGCATGGAGACCATCCTGGTTAAGCAGGCAGCTCAGAAGGCCACGAAGCGACTCCGCACAGTGCGAGAGGAAAGTGCTGCGAGTTTCGCCCGTGTACTCGAGCAGGTGCAAGAACGAGGTCCTGTCGCACGTGATGCTGGAGGAGCTGCTGGAGGAGGAGCGGGCGCTGCGGCGTCTTCCGCCTCGCGGGAGCCCAGCTCCTAGCAGGGCGTGCATGCATGTGAGCGGGCCGCCTCTTAGCTCAGTGCGGTTGCTTCTTTGCAACATCACGTATTGGAATGAAGTGGCCCTGTCTGTTGCGCATGAGGTGAAGCAGACATGTGACGTTTTTTCTTCTGCGAGCATCACCTTACTGAGGCGAAGGCGAAGCTTGCAAGAAGGAGATGCAATCATATGAAGTGGCGGCCACACTTTCAGGCCGCCGTCCCCACCCCTGGAGGGGGCGCCCATGGAGGGGTCGGGGCCGTGGTCTCTCGGGGACTTAGCGTTCGTAGGTTTCTGGCTGGCGCTGGGTCTGTGAAGGACCTGGGCCAAGGCGCCTGTTGGATGTTTCTGGAGCTTCGGACTAAGCAGCCCATCATTGCGATTGGAGTCGTATATATATACATATATATGGTTTCGGACTTCTGCGTCTGTGGCGAGACTGTTTCGAGGCTTCAGGAGATCGTGGAGTTCGTGGGTACCCTGGCGGTCCCTTGGGCGCTGATGGGCGATTGGAATTTCCCTATCGAAGATCTGGAGATGTCTGGATTTACTCGACTGGTACTTGCTCGAGCTGCAGCCCCTGTAATGGGGGTGAATTTACGCGTTCGCAGGGGAGGGGAACCCTTATCGATTATGCGGTGACCTCTGATGATAATGCTGGTTTTTTGAAGGTTGGCAAGTACTCCCCCTCGCCTATCAAAACACATGCGTGCTTGAGTGTGGATATATATCATGATGTGGCGGAGCATATTCTCTGGAAGCGTCGTAAGCCAGCTCCTTTCCCAGAATGCGAAGGACCTGATCTACCGTGGGAAGGTGTTGTTGGAACAGCGCCGTGATGAAGGTAAGGTCGAGGTCCCTGCATTCCTGGAAGAGAAGTTTTGTTTGCCGCAAGTTGCTGATAGTTTGTCTCCTGCGCTTTCGGAGTATTACGCGTTATGGAGCCGAGTCACGGAGAGCATGTATTTTTTCACGAGCGTGTGCAGTTGATCCCGCTCCACAGGGCATCGGTGAGCGAGCTGGGTACCCATGTTTCTCTCGCGGCATAGTTGGACGTCGCGGGTTTGCACGTCAGTCAGTTCGGCAACCAGCTTTGTTTCTGGGCGCACCTATCGCAGAGCCTCTGTGAGTACCGATTGAGCTTGGCTAGGGAGTCTACGGTTGCGATTGATAGGGCTGCTGCGATAGTGATGCCTCTAGCTTTCTCAAAATGGAAGAGCATGCGATTCCTGGAGACGTCCGTCCTGTGGAGCGGTGGCGGGCTCAGTTAGCCAGCTTGCCCCAAGACGTGCCAGGTCTCGATGCGATCACCGATGCACGCAGTAGCACTCTGACTAAGGCGTGGACAGCTGCGCGCTCAGAGTCTAAGGCCAAGATGAAGGCTTGGCTGCTGCGCTGTCTTCCCAGGGGAGCTAAGCGAGTTCACGCTTGGCTGAAGTACGACCAGGGCGAGGATCTTGAGTACCTCGTCGCCCCCTTCTATGGCCCTGCAACTCCCTGAAGATCTCATGGCTTACCGGGAAAAGTATTGGATGGGTTATTGGGAAGCCAGCCCTGAGAAACGAGAGAGATTGGCAGGGGTGTTGGATGAGCTTCGGGTGGTCGCGCTGGCGGCGGCGGAGGATCTGGAACCTCTCGGGGCGCTTGATGTGCATCGAGCGGCGCGGGTGTTCAAGACTGATACGGCCGTGGGGGTTGATCACTGGGCCCCGCGTTCCCTGTTGCTGCTTCCTCCGTCCGCTGTTGGGGTCTATGCTGAGCTCCTCAATCAGTGCGAGCGCTGCATGATGTGGCCCACCCAAACCATGCTTGGTATCATCTCCCTCCTTCCGAAGGCCAAGGATGCGGAGCGTCCTATTTGCAAATGTGCCACCTTGTATCGAGTCTATTGCAAGGCTCGAGGGAGAGAGATTAGTTCCTGGACCACCGATCGCGCTGCTTTCTGGGACACTGCGATTCGAGGGTCCTCTGCTTTGGTTGCCGCCCTGTTGCGTGAAGTAGGTCACGAGATTGCCTCGCATCTGAACATGCAGTCTATCGGTTTGTATTGGGACCTCGCGAAGTTCTTTGATACGGTTGACCCTTGTCGCCTGGCTGGATTTGCTTTGAAAATGCGGTCCCCTGTGCACCTCCTGTACCTGGGACTCGTTATGCATGAGGCCCCTCGCATCTTGAAGGTTGGGTGGGGCTTGTCTCTGGTATCATTCCTACAAGCGTAGGGGTGATTCCAGGTTGCGTGCAGTCTATGGCGTGGGTTAAGATTTAGTTGTATGACGTGCTGGACTTTGCGCATGCCAACTTTTCCCCAGTGCGAGTGAGAGCTTATGTGGACGACATCACCCAAACTCAGCAGGTTTTGGCGGATTATCTTGTCAACGCCATTGCTCCTGCAGCCGCGTGGCTACACCATCAGCTTGAAGCAGCTGGTACCGTGCTTTCTGACAAGAGTTCCATGGTTTGTTCTAGTGTTGCTCTGGAGCGAGCTGCCACTACTCGGTTGGATGGTGCTGGCATCAGACTTCGTTGTGAGCGTGCTGTGCGTGATCTGGGGGTCATGGCCACGGTCGGAAGGAGGCGCTGCACGCGTAAGGTCAAGGAGCGGCAGCGCAAGGCTCGCAAGAAGGCCCAGAAGGTGGCGTGTCCCACGAAGCTGGTTAGTCGAGCCAGCCGTTTTTGCAAGCCCGCTGCGTTGGCGGTCGGGTCCTGGGGCCACGAAGTTTTGGGGCTCACGCTTAGTCAGGTTCAAAACATGAGGGCCCAGGCTGCCATGTGCTCTGGGTGGTGGTCGTCTGGGGCTTGCGCCACCTCGGTCTTGGGACTTCTGGGTTCTGCCAAGGATGACCCCCAGTTGCTTCGGTATGAGCAGTTGTTCAGTTTTGCTAATGATTGGAAGCACCTGGACCACTCCCAGAGGGTGATGATCAGTAAAACTTGGGAACGCATTGCGGAGAAATTCGGTTCTACCAGACATCGTTGGAGAGTTGTTCGGGGTCCTATTGCCGCCACCCTCGCTGTCTTGCTGGATTTAAGTTGGGAGCCCATTTCTCCCGTTTTCTGGCGCGCAGGCGCACGCGAACCCCGCATTGACGATGATGGCCCCCCTCAGCCTTGTGGGAGCAGTTGCAGGACACATGCTCGGCGCTGTCTTGGCAACAGGCTGCTCGCCACTATATGGGAACAGGGCTGGAAGGAGGGGCTGACTTTACGGAGGTGAAGAGGGTCTTGGCTAAACTTCAGAAGGGCGGGGAGGTGGAGGCAGCAAGGGCCCTGAGGAATGTGATTACTGCTGGTTACTGGACTGAGGCCGGATTGCGAGATGCTGGCTACCTGTCAGTCTCCAGGGGCTTGTGCCCCAGGTACGGCGCCTCAGTCGAGACGCCCGCGCATCGCTTTTGGGAGTGCGAGCGCAATCATGACATCCCCGATCAGGTTGTGGAGCGCACCGATCGTTTTGCGTCGCTGGTGAGATCGGAGCCTGAAAAAAAAGCGTGTCTGTGGTTTCGGCGTCTCCCTTCTCTCGGGGCCTCATGTGGCCACTTACCTGCTCCCCAGGAGCGGGTGTGGGAGTGGGGCCGTCTGGTTGGGGGCTCTAAAATCCACGGTGGAGTCTGGGGGATCGATGGATCGGGAGGTCAGTATACTAAGGATTGGAGGCTCCGCCGATGCGCATGGAGCTGTGCACTTAGGTCCTGACGGGCTTTATGATGGCGTAGTTTGCGGGTCGCTCCCGACGAGGCGACAGTCGTCCCCTCGTGCTGAACTTTATGCACTTATCCAGTTGGCGTTGAGCAGTACTGGAGATTGTCGCGTGTATTGTGATTGTTTAGCCGTGGTGAAAGGGGCTCGGCAGCCTCTGGAGGTCAAGCAGCGCTCGAGTATGCAGGACTTGTGGGCCCGCTATCATGCTGTCTTGAGAAATCGTGGAGGAAGTCTCAACGTGCTGTGGACTAAAGGACACGCCACTGACGCCCAACGCCGAAACATGTTACTCTCGGGCGCTGAGCTGTATTTGAATCGTGCCGCGGATCGTTTCGCGGAGGATGCAGCGTCGAGGGTTCAGGTTTCTGAGGATGATGTCAGGCGTACCCTGGAGGCTGATCGTCTCGCTTCGGATGTGCTTTTTCGTCTCCTAGCTGTGCAGCGGGAGGTTCTGTTCTGTGGCGAGCGTGATAGGGCTGCCCGTGCGCCACGAAGAGAGCGAGGGCAGTCCACCAATTTTGCCGAGCGAATGTGCCGTTTGCGGGATGCAGGACACCAGCCAGAAAAAAGGAATGCCGTGATCCGCTGTCCTGCCTGTGCGAAAGGATTCACACTGCGAGGCTCTCTCCATGATTTTTGGCCAGATCCTTGCAAGCCGCGCTGCACATTGCAGCAGCGAGTACAGTCGCTGCCTGCGCGCCCAGTGAGTGGTCGTGATGATCCTGAGCCTGTCTCTGATGACCTGGGGCCGTCGGTGTTGTGTGGGGGGGCCCTGGACCATCCGCTGTCGGATCAATGCGACACCTCACACCACCTCGCTGTGCTGCGAGGTTTTCTTTTCTGTACCACCTGCGGCGCCTTTTGCACAGTGAAGGCGCCGCGGCATTTGGCGAAGGCGTGCCACCCGCCCACGAAGACTGGGCGCGAGGTCTTGTCCCGACTTCGACGTGGTTTGCCGCCTCGGTCAGGTGCTGCCTTTCCTGACTTGAGCTGAGTGGATGAGTCGCGGCCTGCCTAGATGCAGGGACACGCTCCGAGGAATTAGGAATTAGGAATCAGGAACTCCTCCTCCTCCTCCTCCTCCTCCTCCTCCTCCTCCTCCTCCTCCTCCTCCTCCTCCTCCTCCTCCTCCTCCTCCTCCTCCTCCTCCTCCTCCCCCTCCCCCTCCCCCTCCCCCATCCCCGGCCTCTGACTGTTGACACGCTAGCGGCGATCAGAACGGGCTTTGCGCGAGGTGGCATAGCGACCTCACGCCGCGGCTCACGCGGGCCGCCAGCGTGGCACGCTACATCGGAAACGGGGGCGCTTACCCGCGAGCTTACGCGGGCAGCTTACGCGCCAACGTCGGCGCAGACGACCCCCAAAACATGCGACGGTATTATTATTTCAGCACGGTCCCTGGAAACCCCGACCCTTTCCCCAAGACCGCTTTTCATCCCGAGTCGTTCTTTGACGGCCCCGAGGCCCTGCGAGGGCCCCCCGAGGCCGAACACAGCCAAACACCTCCCGTCCTGACTTTGTCACGACCCGATCATATCTGGGAGCGATTCCGCGTCGGCGCTGCTCGCAGGGGGCGCGCGGGGAGACCGCAGGCCTGGGACCCACCCGAGGCCCAGGACCGGGCTGAGGCCAGCGCGCTCCCCCGAAAGAGCACGGGCCGCGCCATCCCCGCTTCGACCTGGATCGGCCGAGGGGTCTCGGCCAACGCCCCTACGGGAGGCCTCCCAGATGGGGTCGCAGCAGATAGGGTCGGAGGACCGCACCGCTTCGCCTATGCATCGCCGATGCATCGGTGAGTCATCGGCGATGCACCGGCGATGCGTGGTCGACGCGGGCGAGGCATCGGCGACGTCGACGTGAAGCAAATCGGGCTCCGCATCGCGCCGACCCGCACATTCGTGTTGCATACCCGGAGATCCAGGCGCCTCAACTGTTTTCGAGCCGGGCGCCTTTGCCAATCTGTCCGGGACCCTCACAGATCGATCTGGCTCGAAAAATGAAGCAGCAAGGTGAGGTCTAGGGTTCTGGCGTGATTTTTTAACGCCGCTGCAGTTTTTCCGCTGCGTCGGATCTCAGGTTACAGTAGGAGCTCGACCGCAAGAAACCTTCCACAAGAAACCCAGCCCTGAGACCCCAGGACGTCCATTGATTTTTGATCTGGGAGCGTCACACCCTCCACAGCAAATCCATCGAAACCCAAGAAACCCAGGGCCCCCCCTGGAGGCAAGCAGGGTGCTTCTTGACATGGGCCTCCACTGTACGTCATGCCTCTGTCTCTCGTGGGCGTATCTTCTACTCCCGCCGCCTCCCACCGGCCTCCAGCCGGCGGAGGCGCCCTCGGTCTGCTTCCGCTGTGGCTTCCGCCGGCCTTCCGCCTCGTAGTGGAGCAGGGGCCGACCGCCCCAGCACCCCGATGGGCCTACCACCGAATATTCCTAGAACCCAGACGTGCTCTTGAGACCAAGAACGGTGCTCTTCGAACATGAGCCCGATGTGTTCAAGAAAGACAAGCTCAGCCATACATATTCTAAGGACATTTCGTACATATCACAGAGGGCATATAGGCGAGCCAAGACGCTTCGCCACTGCTTGACACAAGGAAGAGGTATCGTCTCCTGCGACCCACGACGGCGAGGCATATCCCGGAGCGCCACATGTGCGCGACGGTCTTGCGCGAGATGACGTAGCGACCTTCCCTGAGATCCAGGCGTCTCAATGTTTTCGAGCCGGACGTTTTCGCCTCTTTTCGGCCCTGGGACCCTCACAAATCGATCTGGCTCGAAAAATGACGCAGAAAGATGAGGCCCAGGGCTCAGGACGTGATTTTTTAATGATGTTGAATTTTTCTGCTACGTCGATATTAAGGGTGCGCGGCGATCAAAAACGGCTCTTGCACGAGACTGGTTTTCGAATTCAAGAAACTGGTTTTTGAATTCCAGAAAAATGGTTTTTGAATGAAAAACTTGCATTTGAATGCAAGAAACTGGTTTTTGAAATCATGAGACTTGTCTTTGAATTCAACACATTATATATATATATATATATATATATATATATATGTATATATAACAAAAAAAAAAAAAAAAAAAAAAAACGTTCCCGAGGCCCGGAGAGGGCTCCCACGGGCCGAATTAAGTCGGACCTGTTCCTCTACAGGAGGAATACTAAAAAATAGTTTTAAAAAAGAAGTCTGGGGACGATGTTGTAAGTATTTGTTGGTCACTTTGGAATTTGTTTGGGGGTATTGTTTTACTTTTCGTCCAAAATCCCCCTGCAGGGGGACAGGCCCGACCTAACCGTAGTCATCATCCCCCTCCTTTCAAGTGGCCCGGGGACACACACACAGAAATAGACACAAATAGCAGGATTCCCAATATTTTCCCGATAATTTCTGAGCTTTTGTCTTCCCCCCCACTTCCCATATTTCCCCATATTTTCTGGGGAATCGACGATTCAGTGTCTCTGAGTGTTTTTTGTCCCTGCTGCTCCCTGCCGCCCCCGAGCCATCCCCCCGACGCCCCCTCCGCTCGGACCCCGCCCGCGGAGGCCCCGGAGGGAGGCCCTCGGCGCACGGAGGGGGCGGTACGCACCACGTTCGTCGCCGCCGCCGCCGCCGCCGCCGCCGCCGCCGCCGCCGTCGCCGTCGCCGTCGCCGTCGCCGTCGCCGTCGCCGTCGCCGTCGCCGTCGCCGTCGCCGTGTCCGTCGTCGTCGTCGTCGTCGTCGTCGCCGTCGTCGTCGTCGTCGTCGTCGTCGTCGTCGTCGTCGTCGTCGCCGTCGTCCCCGTCGCCGTCGTCGGCGGCGGCGCACGGAGGCGGCGCGCACCACGTTCGGGGCCATTTTGTCCAGGGCCGCCTGGTCGTCCCCCCGCTCCCGCGCGAGGGCGAAGTCGATGACGAGGGCGTGGGCCTCTCGGGAAGGGGGGGGGAAGCGCCGCGGGCGGGGGCCTCTGTGCGGGCGGGGGCCTCTGCGCGGGCGGGGGCGGAGGAGGAGGGGGAGGGGAGGAGGAGGAGGAGGAGGAGGAGGAGGAGGAGGAGGAGGAGGAGGAGGAGGAGGAGGAGGAGGAGGAGGAGGAGGAGGAGGAGGAGGAGGAGGAGGAGGAGGAGGAGGGGGAGGAGGAAGAGGAGGGGGACGAGGAGGAGGCAACCTCTGCGAACCGTTGTTGGCGTCGGGAGGCCCTCGCTGGGCGTCGGGACCGTCAACAAACGACGCGGGATGAGAAGCCAGCCCGGGGGAAAGGGTCGGGACTTCCAGGGGCCCCGGGCTGAAGAGGTCAGGACGCCGCCTGTCTGGGAAACCAGGGCGAGGACTACATCGGGTGGGGAAAAGAGCCAGCGAAAAACCTCCCTCCCCTCCAGATTTTTTCCCTCGAGTGGGGGGCCTGTGTCCAACGAGCCCTCCCGACAGCCTCCGACTGGGGCCCGACGCAGCGGCCAGGCCTTCGAGGGCTCCGCCCCCCCGCGGCGGCCACTGGGGCCCTGCAGGAGGCCACGGGCGGAGCTCACCCCCAGAGCCGGCGGCGAGGGGCTCGCCGCCGGCAGGCTCCAGGAGGAGCGAGGAGGGAGGGAGGAGGGAGGCGGACGGGGACGGAGGGGGGGGCGGGGACGCGATGCGATGCGATGCGGGACGAAGCCAGGACGAGGCCAGAGATGGGTGAGGATAGGTCGGGGGGTCGGGGATCTCTGAGATCCGGCGGCTCTGGGGGCTGTGTCGGGCGCCGCGGCCTGCTCGGAACGCTCGGGGACGCTCTGGAACGGATTTCTCCTCGTTCTGGCCACCCCGTTGGACTACTGTTCAGGACATCGTCGATCGGAGTGGTTACAAAGGTTTGCTTCTTGTTGTGTTTTATGCTTGACAAGAGGAGGAGGGAATGCGACCGCAGAGTTGTTCTCCCGACCCGGCCTCGACCGCAGTGCGAACCGAAAGGTCACCAGGCAAGCGGGGAGCACCGCGCGAGCCGACCTGCGATAGGCAGGCTCATGCTGTCGGAGTGGTTACGAAGCGATTCGGCGAATCGCTTGCGCCTTTCCTGGGGCAGCGGTCCCGCGGTACCTCCCCTTCCCCAAGATCTCCGACGATCTGCTGCTCAGAGGCTCGCTGGCCCCCCGCGGTTTTCCAGCCTCGGGGCGCTTTTCAGCGGCTGCGCCCCGTCGGGGACGCGTCCTGGGGCTGCGCGGATCGCACCCCGCACGGCCGCCAGGAGGCCCGCGTGCTACGACCCGAGGAGACACATTTCCACCGGCCGCCCGCTGCTCCCCCTCCCCCGCTTGCCGGGTTCCGCCCGCGCTGCGGCTGCCGGCTCCTCCCCTGGGCGCGTCGCGACGCCGCCCCGCGACAGCAGCCAAGGGCTGCCCTGCCGCCCGGCCACCCCCGCCCGCTCGCCGCAGCCCCGCTGCGTGGGAGTGCCCTCGCGACCAGTTCTCCCCCTCCCCGCGGCCGCCCCCCCTCGCCTCTCCTCCTCCTCCTCCTCCTCCTCCTCCTCCTCCTCCTCCTCCTCCTCCTCCTCCTCCGCCTCCTCCTCCTCCTCCTGCTCCTCCTCCTCCTCCTCCTCTTCCCCTTCCTTCTCCTGCACGCGGGTTATAATTCGCGACGCACCGTGCCCTGGTCTCGCCCCGACGCCGCGCGCAGCAACTTGTCAACGGCATTGAAGCAATATGGATTTTGGGACGGGAAAAGATCCCCAGGGGTCCTCCTCGTCCTCCTCCTCGTCGTCGTCCTCTTCCTCCTCCTCCTCCTCCTCCTCCTCCTCCTCCTCCTCCTCCTCCTCCTCCTCCTCCTCCCCCTCTTCCGCCTCCTCGGAGCGGTCTGGACCTCTGGGGCCGCGCATAGAAAACGACAATCAGCTCGGCGGTTGTCAAGGCACGCGCGCTCCTCGCCTCGCGTCGAACAATAATCGGGACGGCGTTTTTTGTTGTTGGTGTTCCTCTCTCTCTCTCTCGCTCTCTTTCTTTTTTTTTTTTTTCTCTCTCTCTCTCTCTCTCTCGGGGGGGGAAGGACACTCCCCCGCGCCCGGGGAGCAACCAGGCCCGGGCAAGGCAGCTGGCGGCGGCTCCCCGGTGCGAAACCACACCGGCCCGCGAGCGACAAGAACGCCAGAACATTAGGAGGATGAGGAGGAGGAGGAGGAGGAGGAGGAGGAGGAGGAGGAGGAGGAGGAGGAGGAGGAGGAGGAGGCAGGGGCAAGGGACGGGGGCGGTGGGAAGGCGGCGATCGTGGTGGCGGACGGGATGGTCGTAGAGGGCGTGGGGGCGGCGGCCGCGGTGGTGGCCGAAGTGGTCAGGGTGGACGTAGTGGTCGCGGCGCTGGTCGTCGTCGTCGTCGTGGCCGCCCGCATTGGTCGCCGCAGTGGTCGTGACGGTAGGCGAGCGCAGTCTGGTGGGCGTGGTTGTCGTAGTGGTCGTAGGGCGGCCGTCGCAGTGGTGGTCGCGGCGGTCGTAGCGGGCGTGGGGCGGGCGTGCTAGTGGTCGCCGCGGTGGCGTCGGTGGTCCAGTCAGAGCCGGTGGGTGGCTCACGTCGCACTCAGCAGCATTTCAGCGTTGCCGAATGCGAGGCACCGCTGCATCTTTCTCCACGTTGTAGAGATCACAGCGGACCGGTCGGCATCTGGCAGGTCCCGGCCGTAGGAGCGCACGAAGGCGACCAGCTCGTCCGCCGGCCGGCCCCCAGTCTCCAAGACGGCCGGGATGAGTTCCCCTCCTGCCGGGGGGTAGCGCGCCCGCTTTCTGTCGACTGCCTGGGCCGCCGCCACCTCGTCCGTGCGAGCCCTGGCCTGCCTGCGAGCGTTGTTGTCGCTGTGTTCGCAGGTGACGGACCAGTCCACAAAGATTGGGGCGTTGGTAGCGGGGTCGCGCGTGGCCACGTCGAGGATGGCCTCCTCCCAGGCTCCAGTGTCGGGGTGCAGGCGGTCCCAAGCACGGACTCGCTGCTCGGTCGTGGCCCTGTTTACTCTCTCTCTCTCTCTCTCTTTACCCCAAGAGGGCCCGCCCGGCAAGGCAAAGTATGAAGCTCGGCAGGGCAAATCATGAAAACGAATATCGCAGCCGGCGCTGCGCTGAAAAAAACAAGGCATGGGATCTCGGGGGTTCTTTCCTCCCCTGCAGGAGCCGCCCCACCCCCATGCTGGGTCCATGAACCGATGGGGCATGCATCGCTAACAAGCGCCTGCACATGCACGAACACCACAACATGAAGACATCTGCCGAACGTGCGCAAGCCAACGTGTATGTGTGTGCACAGCACGCGGCGGCATGCACTAGACCAAAAAAGAACGTTTCCGAAGTGCCGTGTCGAAGCAGTTGTCCTGATTCGTGTTGGAAGATATCGCCAAGACAACGTCTGAACCTACGAACTATGACGGCTGCTCCATAACCAGAAAGAAACGAATCAAACCTGATCCTGTCAAAGCTACACGGGTCAGGAGAATCAATCAAGTACCAGATAGGTTTAGTTAGGGGTGCATATCCAAATAGAGCGAGGACTGTTCCTCCAGATTGGCTGTCGCCAGCAGAAGACTTGTCTGCCCGATACACAGCCCATTGGTGAAGCCAACTCGAAACAAATTGAACGCAAGGGACGTCCACGACTCCTGCTGCCACACTCGTGATGTTCAGAGCGTTGGCCGCACGGTTGAACATGTCTGTCAACTCCATATGTCGTAACAACACATCGTCTCGACTGAAACATGTTTGGTTTGGGGCCAATTCGGAACATGTGGCCGAATGATCACTTCCGTGCGGCCGTGCCTGCAACATCTTTCGTATGTTTCACACTCTCGGCGAGGGCGATGTCTCGCTTCTATCGGTCGGGTTGCTACTCCTCTACCGTCTGCTCCCGTACCGCCCATGCACGCCCCACGAGGGTGGAAACACTGATATGAAATGGGCCTTAACGCGGTCAGGTGGATACCCTCAATATATTATTCTCCCGCCGATCCAGATTATTATATATGATCCCGGGTCGAGGGTTCACATGCCCCCGCCCCCCAGATGGGATGGGTCCCAGGGTTCCGCGGCCCCCCCCAGATGGGATGGGCGGGGAGGACGACAACGACGACGTTGACCCGACGCCGACGCCGACGCCGACGCCGACGCCGATGCCGACGCCGACGCCGACGCCGACGCCGACGCCGACGACGACGACGACGACGACGACGCCGACGGCGACGGCGACGGCGACGGTGACGGCGACGGCAACGGCGACGGCGATGCCGACGCCGACGTCGACGCCGACGGACGACGACATTGACGGACAACGACGACAACGACGACGACGACGACGACGACGACGACGTCGACGCCAACGCCGACGCCGACGCCGACTCCGACGCTGACGACGACGCCGACGCCGATGCCGATGCCGACGCCGACGCCGTACCGACCACGCCGACGCCGACGCCGACGCCGCCGACGCAGACGCCGACGCCGACGCCGACGCCGACAACGACGACGACGACGACGACGACGGACGACGACGACGACAACGACGACGCCGACACCGATGCCGCCGACGCTGACCCCGACGGCGACGCCGACGCCGGCGCCGACGCCGACGACGCCGCCGACGCTGACGCCGACGCCGACGGACGACGACAATGTCTGACAACGACGACGACGACGACGAGCCACCACACAGAACCGGTACCCTCCACCACGCCACTGGCACCCCCCGCATCACCGACACAGGGGGAAGAAGGGTGCACGGGCACCCTCGACCACGCCACGCCCATAGGGCCCACAGGGGGGGTGGAGCGATTCCATTCGCGAGGCCTTCGCGAGGCTCACGGGCGTACCCATCCAACGGGGGGGGGGGCTCGATCCCATATGCATTGGGGGGGAGGGGGGGGCAACCCTGGATCATATCTGGGAGCAATATCGTGGTGTAGCCGTCATGACTGCGATCTTTCGAAATCAATGTTCCACAGGTCGACGCTGGCTGAAATCAACAAACATTTCTCAGATATCGAAGCTGGCAGGGGTTGGCGGCGAGCCAGGGGTGGAGGCCTTCCGAAAAGGTGGGCCTCCTCAAAGACGGGCAGGCCTTCTCAAAGGCGGCGGGGCTTCTCAGAAGCTCTCCTGCCTTATGAGATGTTGTCTCTGTCCTCGGGGAAGGCACAGACAGCTACTCGTAAGACAGGAGGTTTTCTGAGCCTTCTGAGAAGGCCCGCGCCATCTATCTTCCCCCTCTGGGCGCGCCGCCGACAAAGGAAGTGCATCAGCGTTCCGCGCCTGCATCGCTGAGGTAAACCCTGGGTCTCGCCTGCGTTCAAAAACCACCTGTGATGTCAATAGAATGGGAAAGCTAGGGGTCCGAGCAGACAGGGTCGGAGGATCGCGCCGCATGGGTGATGCATCGCAGATGCATCGAGGGCACATCGGCGATACATCGTCGACGGCGGCGACGCATCGGCGCCGTCGGCGTGATCGGGCTCCACATCGAGCAGCATCAGCATCAGCGATGCATCGGCGATGCGGCGCGATCCTCCGACCCCACCTACTCGGGCCCCATCTGGGAGGCCTAGAATCACAGCTCATGGCCTGCCGCATCCAGCCGTGCCATGGATCACAGAAGGACGGGTGGGGGAGAAAGCGGAAGCACCCCCGCCTGCCACTTCGGCGTGATCGACACCTCCTTGATACAGCCTGCGCGGTGGCCGCCGCGGCGACCGGGATTTGTTTGCTTGCGGCCGGGTAATCTTACGCAGACGACGCTGGGAAGCCGACCGTCGGACCTCGGGGACGCACTGACCTGGGTCGATGCAAACCCGGGTCAGTCGGGCTCTGCAGGATCCTGCAAGAGCCTGAAGGATCCTGCAGGATCCTGCACGCTAGCCCAGGTCAGTGCACCCCTGGCTCTGCAGGATCCTGCAAGATCCGGCGCTCTGGCTAACCCCCTTTTGCATTGACCGCGACGTCCTGATTTTTTCAATACGGGACCCCTGGAAGTCCCGACCCTTTCCCCGGGACCGGGCTTCCATCCCGAATTGAGTGTTGACGGCCCCGATGCCCAGCGAGGGCCCCCCGAGGCCGAAAACTTCCAAAAACCTCTGGTCCTGTTATTTCTTCCACGCGGTCATGTCTGGGAAGCCGACCGTCGGACCCGCAAGTACCCGTCGGCCGCGGGGATCTCTCGTGGGCACTCCTGTGTACGCGGGTGCACCCGCAACGGCAAGATGGGAGGAGCGACAGAGCGGTGCTCAGCGGTCCGGCCGCGCACCAAGCCTGCCGCTGCGGGGTCCGAATCGCAGTGCGCGGCACCTCCTCCACCCCCTCCTCCTTTCCTTTTCCTTCGAGATAACCCCTCCCTGTCGCACCCCGGGGCCGGTCGAAAGGGCGGGCCAGGCGTTTCGCCTGAGACCCCCTCTCCTGTTAGGATTCCGAAGCTTGAAACTGGCCATCGCTCGGACGTCCATTCCCTGTGCTTTTTTCGGTTTCGTGCGTGGTGTCTTCGCCAAATGATCAAGGATGCTTCTCGATGGTCCTCGCCGAGAAAAAATGCACACGTCCGAGCGATGCCAGATGAAGTGTGCAGGAGCTTCACGGACGGAGGGCGGCCCGTTTCCAAAATGTGGCCCCCGCCTTTAGCGCCGCGCGCACTCGTGCAGATTACACCTGCAGAGGGCTTCGCGGCTGGAGGGCGGTCCGTTTTCAGAGTGTGGTTCTCGCCAGATCGCCGCGCCCATGCGCTTCACAAGGCTGCAAGAGCTCCACAGATGGAGGGCGGCTACCTCCCACAAGGCAGCTCTCGCCTCAGCGGCGCACGCACTCATCCTCAAAGCTTACGTCGGTTGCGCGGATGGAACGCGGTGTCTGTTCAAACTACGGCTCTCGACCGAGCGCCGCGCGCATTCATTCTTAACATTTTGCAAGAAGGCTTCACGGATGGAGGGCGGCTCCTTCGCAAAAGTGTGGCTTTCGCATTCGCGCCGCGCACACTCGTCTTCAGCAGTTTCAAATTTCCGCATGGTAAACGTCCCAGAAATGGTGCTTGGGCACGATGTTGGAATGTCAGGGCGCAGCAGACACGTTGATTCGCGGTGCTGAAGTCTCAGGAACGGCGTTCTGGTGCGATTCAGGATCGTCAGGACGCAACAGTAGCTGTGATTCGCGGAGTTGAAATCCCAGGAATGGCGTTCTGGCGCAGTTGCGGATTGTCAAACGGTTGTCTTCCAACGGGGCTTTCTTAGTGAGAAAAATCGGTGAAGGAGGAACTTGGAGGGAGGGTGTATTGCAATATCGTTGCTGAATATTGGGTTTCACTGGTCCTCGTCCTCCTCCTCCTCCTCCTTCGACCCCACCTCCTCCTCCTCCTCCTCCTCCTCCTCCTCCCCCTCCTCCTCCTCCTCCTCCTCCTCTTCCCCCTTCCTCCTCCTCCTCCTCCCTCCTCGTTCTGTCCTCCTCCTCCTCATCCTTACTCTTCCTGTTCTTCTTTTCCTCCTCATCCTCCCTCGTCCTCGTCTTCTTCTCATTATTAATCCTTTTCCTCTTCCTCACATTCCTCCTCCTCCTCCTCCTCGTCCTCCTCCTGCTCACTCCTCCCTCCACGGCGTGCGCCTTGGCAGTTGCATCAGCGGAAGGACTCTACGGGGGTTGCGTGCGAAGACGCACTGGGGAGCTCACGTCCAGGGGTGCTCCTGTTAGCTACCCCAATGGATGGGGAACGCAAGGTTCTGCCTAGACCCCCTCGCGTTGTGAAGAAATCGCGGCGGGAGGTTTGTCACTATTCTCGGCCTCTGGGGGCCATGACAGGACCTCGGGACCGTCGAAAAAACGACTCAGGATAAAAACTCGGCCCTGGGGAAGGGGTCCCGACACGTTGCGAAAAAATCACGACGTCGGGATTTGGGTGGAGGGCAGTGCTGGTGCACCCGCTTGTAAAATACGCCCCATGGAAATACCACTCAAAGACCACATTGCCGCGCAAAGTCTATGGACGCGTAGATAGGTGGCGACATCCGACCCTACCCCCGCCAACCATCGATTCTCCTGGGCCGCTTGGAAACGGGGGTAGGGTTCGGATTTCGGCACGTGTTAAACAAATTCCGAACCCTAACTCCCGCCGCCCATCGAGTTGCCTGTATTGTTGATCGGCGTTGGTAAGGCTCGGAACTCGCCGCCGAACAAGCGTGCTGGGTCGACTGCTCACTGGGCTGCCCTGTCGCACATGACCTGTGCCTCCACCCCGCAATGGCGCATCACCGAGACAGCGTATGCCACACATTTCATTCAGAGACATCCGCGCAGTGCGCCCCCTCAATAATACTCTGTGTCCCTCAATAGTTTTGGGTCCCCGGACTACTACAAGTACCCCCTGGACTACAGGTACCCCCTCCCCGGACTACAGGTACCCCCCCCCCGGGCCTACAAGAGCTTGTTTGTCTGTCAGACTCCAGCAAGACTGCTTGCATGCACGAAGGGGGGGGGGCTGAACCCGAAGCAAGCCACAAGCGACTTGCACGTTGCGGGGTGGGCTCTGCGCCTCGCATGTGCAAGGGCGTTTTGTAGGGGAATTGACGATACCCAAAGCGATGGGCGTGCCATGTGCCACCTCTCCGAAGGGAGAATGCCTCAGGCGGTCTTCGTGCCTGGACCTCCAAATCTGGTGTTATCGGAACAGTCTGAAAGGATTTCACGGGGGGGGCGCACGGAAGGATTGCACTTGCACGCTGGGGGGGGGGGGCGCGGAAATCACGCAAGTCGAAAAGCACTCGCACGCTTTTTCGGCCCAGTACTGTGTGAATCAGAAGCGGGAGGGGGGGGGGGGGGGGGGGGGGGGGCAAACTGCCATGCAAGTAAACTTGCCTGAATCTAAAAAACAAGCTCCAGGTACATCCCCCGGACTACAGGTACCCCCCCCCTGACTACAGGTACACCCCCTCCCCCCCGGGCTACATGTCCCCCCCCGGATACAGGCACCCCCGCTGGTCGCTGCAAGTGCCCCCTGAAGCTGCAGGACCCCCTGAGTTCGCTATCCCCTGGGATCCAGAGCGGTCCACCAAGCATGTCTCCGCGCATTTCCACCGATGCATTCGCCCACGTTGGGTCAGCGGTCGAGACGGGGCACTTTCGAAGGACGATTGGACATGGAGACACGAAGAGAACGACAAAAGGAAATAGACATCTACAGAGAAAGGGACACATGGAGGGAGGAAGGGAGGAGCATAGAGAGAGAGAGAAAGAGAGACATTGACTGTCGGACTGATAGAAAGAGAGACGGCGAGAAATTGAGAAAACAAAGCAAAAGGAGTGAGGGTGTCGTCTAATCCGAGCTCTGTTCAAGATCGGTCCCTGGACCCCTGAACCGGGTCCATGCTTGCCAGCTTCCCATGCCGGATCGTTGTCCGCCCCAGGGCCCCCAGAGGGCTTCCATATGAAGAGAGTTGTCAGAAACCTGCTTGGTGTTTGGCAAGGAGAACCGGGCATGGATCGCTTTCAGGCCGCCCAAAAATCTGACGGTACGCCGCCTTCTCCGGGGCCTTGATGGAATCCTGTCAGAAGTGAACACATCATGAACAACTAAGATCTCGATAGGGCTGCACCTACCCTTTGTAGGGTCCGCACAGGTCTGGATATCTTGGGCCTCGTGCGACCCTACGATGGCTGTATGGGCAGCCTCGATCAGATCCCATTGCGCGCGCATGCAAGTGCCCCGCTGCCGCCCTCCCGCCGGGCCGGACGAACGCCTCTCGAGATCACCGCCGACTGGATAACCTCGTGCCTCGCGCCGCGCGCGCACGCGTGCCGACCTGCGCGACCTGCGGACTCGCCCGCCAGAGCACAGAACACTCTTCCGCTCCGCGCCCCACGCCGCGCGATGCGCGGCTCTCTCCGCGCTCTCGCGCCGCCCGCCCTGGAACAGGGCAGTTCTGCAGCCTGCCGCTCGCGCGACCTTCGGACTCGTCGCGTAGGTCACCTAACTTTAGGTCGGGCACGTCCTCCTACAGGCGCATTTGGGACGAACAATGAAGAAACACTCAAAACATGCCCCAACATGGTCAAACAAATACTCAAGGAATCGTCCCCAGACTATTTTTTGACTCTTTGGGAATGTTCCTCCCGTAGAGGGCAAGGCCCGACTCAAACCTGACTCCGCGCCTTGCGCCTCGAGGTGCGCGACACGCGCGGTGCTCCTCGCGCCCCCCCGCAGGCCGCCCCTGGAAGAGGGCAGCCTCTGCGGCCCCGGGCGCGAGGAGCCGCGAACGTCTCCGCTGCCCCCGTGGGCGGCCCGACTCCCGCGGGCCTCCGCGGTGGCGCATCGGCCCACCGGGTCCGCAAGCGAATGCGACGGGCCCCGGAAGAAAGAAATGGCGAACACGCCTGCCAACATTCCTCTGTCGACGCCTCCTCCCCTCCCCCCGATCCCAATGTTCAAGGTTGGCGGTGGGTCTGATGAGTTGCACATCGACCGCAGTCTCCCCCGCGCGTGCTAACTCTGAGTTTTTTTGGGGGGAGTGTTCAGTAATTGTTTCCCTCTACCGGAAGAGTAAACACCTGAAGCGGGGTGGGCAGCAACCCTCGGTCTGCGGGGAGTGCTGCATGACCTCGGTCCAATGGGCGTGTCCTCGCTTGGAGAACAGGCAGCACGCTCCCTTGAGATCCGACGTTGCAAAACACATGCAACATCGCAAACAATCCCGCCCAGAACCCTAGACCCCATCTTTCTGCATCATTTGCATCGCCAGATCGATCTGTGAAGGTCCCGGGGCCAGAAATGGAGCGAAAACACCGATTGCGAAAAAGTCGCAACGCCAGGATCTCGGAGCTCCAAAAATCGATTCCATGGCTGCGAGACCGTCCGATGGCACTTATGCGTCAGATGAGCCCAAATTCTGGCCACGAGGCCCCACCCGGCATCTGCGACGCTCGCACGCCGCGGTCGAAGCGGCAGCCGGGAGGACGAAACGCGCGAGCTCTGTCCACAGGGGGTCGCAGGGAGGGAAGGACGGGCGGCCGCGGAGGCAAGAAGACGAAGGGCACCTTCCACCATCGCCCCCTCCTCCTCCTCCTCCCTCCTCCTCCCTCCTCCTCCTCCTCCTCCCTCCTTCTCCCTCCTCCTCCCTCCTCCCTCTTCCTCTCTCCTCCTCCTCCCTCCTCCTCCTCCCCCTCGCGCTGTGGACAAAAATCACGACGGGAAGGTCTTCTCTGTGTTTGGCCTCCGGGGGCCCCTCCCGGGCCTCGGGACCGTCCAGAATCGACGCGGGAACCCTAGTATACGTAACCGAATCATACGGTTACGCGCGAAACTGTCGCGCGTAACCAAATGATAAGAACAAGTAGGGTTACGATCGACCCCTCACACACTCGAGCTATCAAAATGCATTGAACACCTCCGTAACCAAAATCTTCACGGGAAGATCTTTGCGTAACCAAATCGTAACCATCTTTTAAACGTTCGTAACCAAATCATAACCAAAAAAACGGAAATCGTAACCAAATCGTAACCAAATCGTAACGAGCATGTTCGACATTCCCGATTGGGCTCAAGAAGGGGGCGGTGGAGCAAGGCGGCGAGAGTGACAACGAAAATGAGCACGCGGAGAAGTAAAGAACGAAGACGAGAGCGGGAGCAGAAGCAGGACCTGGGGAAAACGAGGCGTCGTGAAAGACGACGAGGACAAACGAGCGACTAGGAGGGAAGACTGATGAGGAGGAGACAGAGCGTTATCAGGTGGAGCAGGACGGGGGGGAGGAGGAACATGACTCGGAGAGGGAAAAAGAATAAGGCACACGCAAGCACGAGGAGGATTGAGAAGGGAGGGAGGAGGAGGAGGAGGAGGAGGAGGAGGAGGAGGGGAGTTGGGGGAAAAGGAGGGGGAGAGGGAGGAGGAGAACGAGGAATAAAAGGAGGCATGGGCGCAAGCACGGCGAGAGCACGAGCGCCGAGCGATAGTATTGACTCATTGATGACTTGACGCCAGGGTTAAGGTTAGAGCCAGGAGGGTTGGAAGGAGGCTTTGAAGGAGGCCCAAGTGGACGAGGACAAGGATGAGGCTTGCAGGAAGTATGATAGGAGTGAGAGGGTCAGAGAAGGCTGGGAGGGAAGAGGGAGCTTGAAGAGGAAGACTTTGAACTAGGAGGTGCGGGGAGAAATGGTTGGAAGTCTTAACGCTTCGCGTAACCCCACCAGCCCATGCAGAAACGATGCCCAAAAGAGTAGCCTCGATCAGGGAAGTGGGCAGCACACAGAGGAAGGGCACCTCAGTGGATGCCATTTGGAGCGTTGTTGAGGCATCTTGGCGGGCCCATGGTCCTCATTGAGCGTCTTGGGTGCCTCGGGGATCTTCTTGAGGTTTCTTGGGGGTCTCTCGGTCGCCTCTTGGAGGCATTTTGGACGCCTCTTGGGGCCGTCTGGGCGCCTTGTGGGGCCCTCTTGGGGCTTTGGAGCTTTAGAGGCGCTCGAGGGCCATCTTGGAGGACATCGATCTTGCTCTGCGAGTAACGTCAGATCAAGTGCAGATCGTCCTCGCCACTCCTCCTCCTCCTCCTCATCCTCCTCTGCCTTGTCCTCCTTCTCCTCCTCCTTCTCCTCTTCCTCCTCCTTCTTTTTAATCCCCCCCCATCACCTCCTCCTCCTCCTCCTTTTCCTCCTCTCCCTCCTCAATTTTAGTCGCCCCGACTTTGCGCAGCGAGCGTAATTTCGAAACCTCCTCCTCCTCTGCCCTTCTATAGCCTATAGCCGTAGAGCCCTATGGCCCTATAGCCCTATGGCCCTATAGCCTTGTAGCCCCATAGCCCCATAATCCTATCGACTTATAGCCCTATGTCCCTATAGCCCTCTAGCCCCATAGCCCTATAGCCCTACAACCCTATAGCCCTGTGGCCTTGTATCCATATAGCCATATAGCCCTATAGCCATATAGCCCTACCGCCCCATAGCCCTATAGCCCCATAGCCCCATCGCCCTATAGCCCAATAGCCCCATAGCCCGATAGCCTATAGCCCTAAAAAGACTTTGATTGGGGCCTTTCTTCGGTACCATGACTATTTTGGAATATTCCTCCTATACAGGGACACGCCCGACTCAACGGTAGGTCCTGGATGGCAAGCCTGGTCTCCGACAAGGAGGACAAGAAGGAGGGACCACACAACAGTTTTGCGCCACCGAGAATCACCGGGGCAGGAACAGGGGGCCCAGCTCCTGATGTCACGCCTTGCCTCCCTACTGGAACTGGGATCGTGCTCAAGGCCGCAACGCGTCCGAGCTCAAGCGCGCTGACGTTGTGCCGTAGGGGACCCACAAGTCAGCTGGCGGGCGGACTGACCTGGCGGCCAGCGCAGCCCAACGGGCTCACGACCTAACCCCGCGCCCGTGATAATATTGAGGCACCCCCCATCGGGGGGCGACAGCGTCCAACCTTCTTATTCCCTAGATCATTTTCTCGGGCACGGGGCTATTCCTATATACTGACAACCATGGCGCCAGTGAGCCCAGAGAGGAGGCACAGCAGTTCAGTGCACCCAGAAGCGCTCTTATGATCTCTCTCTTAATCGAAACCTTATTATTAAAGCGACCCAAAAACATCGCAACCACTTCGGACCGATCGCAACTGGTTGTGATCAGTCCGAAGTGGTCGACGATCGGTCCGAAGTGGTTGCGATCGGTCTCCATCGCGGGTTGACGGGCCCCCGCTCGCACCTATCGCAACCGCTGCTTTGCGATAGGTGTGCCCGGTGGGCATCCCGTGGCCGCCGTGGTGCCGTCATCGGCCGTTCTGAGGTCCTGTTAAGCCAATTGGATCCCTCCGGAGGCCCTTAAGGGCCAGCTTGAGGCCATCTTGGATTCGTCTTGGGCTCCCCAGGGGCCCTCTTGAGCTGTTTTGGGCCGTCTCGAAGGCTTCTTGGGTTATCTTGAAACTTTCTTAAGCCGTCGTGGGGCGATGTTGGAAGCCTCCGGGGCAGACTTGAGCCGACAGAAGGTCGAAAAGGTAATAATACCAACATCTTTGAAGAAAAAAACAAATGAAAATCAATGAGTCTGGCCTCTTCGGATTTGTTGGAGGCTCCCTTGGAGCCCTCTTGGGCCGTCTTGCGGCCTCTTGGGCGGTCCTGAGGCCATCTTGGCCCATCTTGGGGCCACCTTGGGCCGTATTGGAGGCATCTTGTGCCGTCTTAGCGGCTTTGATGGCTTTCTAGGTCCGTCTTGGAAACATCTTGGGCAGAGCGGAGTCTCGCCGCTGCTGCGCGGGTACGCCAGCCATAAGACGAAGCATTCGCCGCTGGCGGGAGGAAGAGGCATCACCTGTCTGGCCCATGGCTCCTTTTGGTCCCCCACCCACCCCTCCGCATCACTGCCTATCTGCCTGTCTGCTTCCCACCCTTCCCACCCGCCTCCCTGTACCCATCCTCCCCTCACTTCCTCCTTCCTTCTCCTCCTCCTCCTCTTCCTCCTCCTCCTCCCTCCCTTCCTCCCTCCCTCTCTCCCTCCCTCCCGTGCCAGCTTTCGGGACCCCCCCTCACCCTCCCAGAATTCCGGAAATCAGGGGTCTTGTAAAACCTGTGAAAGTTTTAACATCTCCAGAAAGTTCTCAACCCTGTTAAACCATTAAAGCTTTTGAGAACCTTTAAAAATCCCCGGGTCCTGGATATCCAGACCTCCAGCACTCCCAGAACTCTTGGAATCCTGGGATGCCGAAAAATTCAAAACTTTTTTATATAAATTTTGAAAGTTTCGAACCTCCTAAAACTTTGAACACGTTAGAAAAATTTTGAAACGTTTGAACATCCCGGGGCCCTGGATTCCCAGACCTCCAGCATTCCCAAACATCTTGGAATCCTGGGATTCCGAATGCTTCATATATGCAAAATCCGCCGACCCTGTCGGCGTGTGTGAGGGGCTTGTCCGTTCAAATCGTCATCTCCGTCATTCGTTGGTCGTCGTCTCTGTCGTCCCCTTTCCCTGCATCCCCCCTTGCCCTGGGCTCGTCGAAGCTCCCTCCTTCCCCAGGGACCTCCCAGCGCGCCAGCCAAAGCGAACATAAGCAACGTCGTAATTGAGTCGAAGGGAAGCCCCTTCCCTTCGATCCCTCCCCCGCGGGGGGGGGGTCCCGGGAGGGGGGGGGGGGTCAGACGCCCCCGGGGGAGGGGTCAAATACGACGCCCCCCCCGGGAGTCCCCGAGCCCCAAAAAAGCCTCAAGACGGGCCAAGAGTGCCCCAAGAGGCCCCAAAAACAATCCAAGAGAACCCCGAATCGCCGAACGATCTGTCCAAGACGCCTTCACGGCCTCCAGACGGCCCAAGAGGCCTGCAAAGCGTCCCTAAGAGGCCTCCAAGAGCTTTCTCACGAGAGCTCGAAGAGGCAAAATCCATTGATGTCCTATACATGTTTGAAAGATTTTGGCGTTATTGCCTCTTCCGCTTCCCGACGCGCCAAGACGGCCCAAGAGGCCCCCAAGATCGCCCCGAGACGGCCCAAGAGGCCCCCAAGAGGGCCCCCTAAAGGCCGAAGAGGGCCCCAAGACGGCCCAAGACGCCTCCAAGACGGCCCAAGAGGCCCCCAAGACGGCTCCAGGAGAGTGCCCAGACGGGGGACCCGAACGGACACTTCGAGCTCTCAGCCCTAAGAGGCCCCCAAGAGGCCCCGAAGAAGCCCCAAGAGGCCCCAAGACGCTCCCAAGGGGCCCCCAAACTGCCCCAAGACAGCCCAGGAGAGCCCCAAATTTCCCAGGAGGCCTCCAAGAGTGCCTCGCGACGGCGCAAGAGGAGCTCTGGACGGCCCAAGACGGCCTCAGGAGAGCCACAGGCTGTCCCAAGAAAGCCGCTGGCCTCCTCCTCTTCCTCCTCCTCCTCCTCTTTTTCTTGTTCTTCTTCTTATTATTATTGTTCTTATTCGTCTTATCCTTCTTCTTTTTCTTCTTCTTCCTCCTCCTCCTCCTCCTTATCCTTATCCTCCTCCTCCTCCTCCTCCTCCTCCTCCTCCTCCTCCTCCTCCTCCTCCTCCTCCTCCCCCTCTGCTCCCCCTCCTCCTGCTCTCCTCTGCCTCCTTCTCCTCCTCTTGCTTCTCCTCCACATCCTTCTCCCCCCTCCTCCTCTCTCATCCGCCTCCTCCACCCTGCCCCCCCCTCGTTTTCATCTTCGTCGCTCTCAGGGTCGGCGGCAACGGCCGTAAGGCCTTCGCAATATCAGAATCTTTCAGCCTCTTGAACCCCCACAACCTTTTCGAACATGTAAAAACACATTAAACCCTTTGAAAATCCTGGGCCCTGGATTCAGAGATCTCCTGCATTCCCAGAAATCCTGGAATCTTGGAATTCCGAAAAGGCCCAACACACGGTAAAAGTTAAAGCATGTTCAGCCCTTTGAACAATCTGAAACTGTTGAACGTTTTGAACACTTGAATTTTGAACATCCCCGGGCCTTGGATTCCGAGATCTCCTGCGTTCCCAAAAGGGTCCTAAGGACGATCAGGAGGACGAGGAGGAGAAGGAGGAAGGAGACTCCTCCCTCCTCCCTCCTCCCTCCTCCCTCCTCCCTCCTCCCTCCTCCTCCTCCTCCTCCTCTCCTCCTCCTCCTCCTCCTCTCCTCCCCTCCTTCTCCTCCTCCTCCTCCTCCAGCTCCTCCTCCTCCTCCTCCTCCTCCTCCTCCTCCTCCTCCTCCTCTCCCTCCTCCTTCCCTCCTCCTCCTCCTCCTCCTCCTCCTCCTCCTCCTCCTCCTCCTCCATTCCTTTTCCTTATATATATATATATATATATACTGTCGCCCTGTCGCGCCCCGAGGCCAGTTTTTTGGGCGGGCCAGGCGTTTCGCCTGAGACTTCTTCACCACTTATAACCCTGAAGCTTAAACATGGGAAACAGCTTCCAGAATGAAGGGCGGGTCGTTTTCAACTTGTTGCCCTCGCCTTAGCAACGCGCACATTCGTTGTAACAAGTTGCAAGAGCTTTACTGATTGAGGGCGGCTCGTTTTCAAAATGCTGTTTTCGCCTCAGCGCCGTGCACATTCGTGATAACATATTGCAGAAATTTCGCTGTTTGATGGTGGGCCGTTTTCAAAATGTGGCTCTCGTCTTAGCGCCGCGCACATTCGAACTAAACACTTGCAAGAGCATCACGGATTGACGGCGGGTCGTTTTCAACATGTGTTTCTCGCCTTAGCGCTGCGCGAACTTGTTGTTTAATGCAGTTTCTTTACGGATTCCCATGATCAGCGTATGTACCAAAAATGGCGTTCTGGAGCGATCCAAGATTATGAGGGCACAACAGTTGTGTTCGCGGTGTTTTTTTTTTAAACGCACACCATTGGGGTCATCCTCTCCTGGCAGGATCCCGCTCCTCAACAGGACGCCGGCGGCCGAGCACGCCCGCGCTCACACCGCGTGCGAGAACCTGCACTCGTCGCCGAACCTGCACTCGCCCTTGTCGCGGAAGTCGTAGCAGATGCCCCCGCCGCCGCCGCCCTTGCCCTTGCCGCCCTTGCCCTTGCCCTTGCCCTTGCGGTCACCTTCTGGGCACTCGCGCGCGAAGTGGTCCCCGCCGCAGATGAAGCAGCCGCTGCCGCCAGGGCCTCCCCCGGCGGGCTTCTGCGGACAGTCCCGCGCGAGGTGGTCGCCCCCGCAGGTGAAGCACCCCTTGCTCTTGCCCTTTCCGCCATCCTTGCCACCCCTCTTGCCGCCACCTTCTGGACAGTCCCGTGCGTAGTGGTCGCCGCCGCAATTGAAGCACTCGGGCATCTTGTGAAAGAAGACGCTAGCCTGGCAGGCAGGCAGGCAAGGCTGGCTTGGAAGCGCTCCCCTCTCGAGCCGAAACGGCTTGAGCCAAAATGGCTACGGAAGTTGTGTGTTCGCGGTGTTGACGTCCCAAGAACGACGTTCTGGCACGATTCAGGATCGTCATGACGCTACAATCAAGTTGATCCGTGGCGTTGGAGTCCCGAAAATAACGTTGATGACTCTTGGGTTTACACTGGTCCTCCTCCTCCTCCTCCTCCTCCTCCTCCTCCTCCGCCCTCCAACTCCCTCCTCCTCCTCCCTCCTCCTCCTCCTCCCTCCTCCTTCTCCTCCTCATCCTCCTCTTCCTCCTCCTCCTCCTCCTCCTCCTCTGTCCTTCTTCTCCTCCTCCTCCTCCTCCTCCTCCTCCTCCTCCTCCTCTGTCCTTCTTCTCCTCCTCCTCCTCCTCCTCCTCCTCCTCCTTCTTATTATTATCCTTATTCTTCTTATTATTCTTATTTATTTATTATTTATATTATTATTATTATTATTATTATATTTTTATTATTATATTATTATTATTCGTCTTCTTCTTATTAGTATTATTATTCTTTTTCTGCTTCTTCTTTCTTCTTCCTCCTCCTCCTCCTCCTCCTCCTCCCTCCTCTGTCCTTCTTCTCCTCCTCCTCCTCCTCCGCCTCTTCCTCCTCCTCCTCCTCCTCCTCCTCCTCCTCCTCATCCTTTCGTAGCTCGGGCTTCTGCATCTCCTCTGCCTCCCGCTCCGTGGGCGCTACTGCGCCGGTGGAGGCACAGGCCACCGCGCGGGAACTTGGTGGTCAGCTCTCTGCTGGGAGCGGCGGTTTGGCACTCTCTGGGAAGCGACAGGCGGAGCGCGGCAGTCGTGTACGCCTCCTCCTCCTCCTCCTCCTCCTCTCCTCCTCCTCCTCCTCCTCCTCCTCCAGCCCCCACCCAGTTCTCCCTCTTTCCTTCCTCTTCGTCCTCCAGCCCCCTCCTCCTCCTCCTCCTCTCCTCCTCCTCCTCCTCCTCCTCCTCCTCCTCCTCCTGCTCCTGCTCCTCCTCCTCCACCTCCTCCTCGTCCTCCTTCTCTCCCCCTCCTCCTCCTCCTCCTCCTCCTCCTCCTCCTCCTCCTCCTCCTCGTCCTCGTCCTCCTCCACCTCCTCCTCCTCCTTCTCCCCCTCCTGCTCCTCCACTTCGTCCTCCATGACTCCACCCTCCTCCTCCTCCTACTCCTCCTCCTCCTCCTCCTTCTCCTCCTCCTCCTCCTCTCTCCTCCTCCTCCTCCTCCTTCTCCTCCCTCCTCCTCCCCCATGCCGCTCCACGACTTCGAATCGGAATTCTTGATACCCTCCCTTAGGAGAGCCCACGCGTAGGCAGGCCCTACGAGCGTGGCCGATACCTTCTCCAGGTGCGCTGCACGCCTCGAAACTTCCTGCTCCCCCTTCCGTCCCCTCCTCCTATCCTCCTTCCCGTCCTCCGTGTTTCCCCTTCCGTTCCCCCCCTCCCCTCCCCCTTCCCGTTGCCCTCCGCCCCCTTTCCCTTCCCCGTTTTGAGGGCCGGGGGTAAGATGAAACGATCCTCTGGGGCTGCACCGGCGGAGGTGATGTGTCATTTTTATGTGCCCTTTTCAGATATCCCTCCTAGGACGCTGATGTCCGACATCTACTTCAGCCTCCTGCCTTCTTCCCTCACCCCGATGGGGACCTTCGGAGGCCTCACCAGTGAAGACCATCATAGGCTTCACACTCCTCGCAGCTGCCACCATAGAGGCTGCTTGGGGCCCGCCCTCTCTCACAATTCACCGGTTCACCACGCCGTCAGTGGGCACCGGAGGGGGCCGGGGACTCCTTTATGGACCATCGGCCAACGAAGACGTCCATGAAGGAGGGTCCAAATGCACCTCCACCACATGTACACCGTAAACCAATGCACCAGTCAACCCATTCCTCATATCCCTCCTCCTCCTCCTCCTCCTCCTCCTCCTCCTCCTCCTCCTCCTCCCTCCTCCTCCTCCGCTTCCCCCTCCTCACTCCTCCTTGTCCTCCTCCTCCTCCTCCTTCTCCTCCTCTTCCCTCTACTCCTCAATCTGGTCTCACGACAGCCCGTCTGATCTTCGCCATCATGGTCAGCAGTCCCAGAATGCCCCGAGATTCCCCATCCGAGCTCTGACCGATGGCAGGAGCGAGTACCCCACACATGGCTCATCATGCCTGGAGAACCAGGCCGTAGACGGAGAACCGAATTACGAGGCCCTTTCGCAATACTTGATTGTCAAACTGGATCTCTGAACTTCAACACCTCATGTATGAAAAGCAGTTGGTTGCGTCACAGGTCACGTCACGCTTGGCGCGGGCGCCGTCTCGGGAATTTGCCATATTCAAGCATTTCCCAGCGGCACTGGCGCGAGTCGTGACGTGACCGACCCCCTCCCCTCCCCTCCCCAGTCATGCCCTCTATCGCCAGGGAATGAAGGGACTGTCTCTGTTTTTGGGTTTCCTTTCTGTCCGTGGGTAGCAGCTGGGCCGCCAGCCCAGGTGGACCCAATCTGACTGGCCACGGGGAAGCAGCCGCCACCGCTCCACCCCCCGCTTCTGGATGTCCTATTTCAGACAGGCAGATGTTGGAGGAAACAAAGAATGTGTTCAACAACATATTCAAAAAGGGTAGAACAAGTAATCAACAAATCGTCCCCAGACTACTCTTTCACTATTCTTGAAGTTTCCCCATGCACAGAGGGACATGCCCGACTTAAAAGCCCACGGGCTGACGGCCGCCTCTCGCTCAGAGTTACAAGTTCGCCCTCGGCGTGTCCGGCTCTCCGGCGGTGAGTCTTTTCGGTCCCGGCGTGCTTCCCTTGATCGCTTCCACGTCTGAGCTTGGCGGCGCGCACACGGGGGTGGAGGGAGGGGGGAGGGCTTCTTAGTAGAAGGAGGCTGCTTCCTAGAAGGCGCCGGCCTTGCATCTGTAGAGAAGGCCCGCGCCTTCGAAGAAGCAGGGGTGCTTCTAAGAAGCCCTCCCCCCTCCCCCCACCCTCCTCTGCACGTGGCTGATGCGCTCTTCCCCCCTCCTCCCCTCGCGCTGCCGCCCTCGTCCTCTTTCCTTCCTCTTTGCGCGCCGGACGATTCGCCTCTCGGTTGCCCCGGTTCGCCCCGCGCTGGAGCGGACTGCCTCTGCCTCGCCACCGACGAACAAAAATGTCCTTGATCGCGGCCTCTGGGCCTCAAAAACGGATCCTGGAGGAAAGACGACCCCCCCGCGGAAGCGCTCGGGAGCCCCGAGGCGCAGAGGGAAGCAGCCGTGGCGGCGGGTGTCATGGGGACTCCCCCGCAGCATCTCCACGTCGCTTGCCTCTGGCAGAGCTCCGTTGGCCCGTGCCGCGGCTGCTGCCGAGAGGGGTGTCCGCCTTTTCCCCACTCAGGGAACCCACGAAGGACGTACGCGCCCACCCGTACAGGAGTGCGGCCCCCCCCGTCCGCGAGGTCAGCCTCGTGCTACGAGCGTTCGCGCAGTGCGTACTTTCGAAACCAACGCGGGCTCATGTGCAGCTGTTGCAGCTGCGTCCTCCTCTCGCTCCTGGCCGCTCACGGTCAGATAGCCGTGCCATGTGACTTGCTCCTCCTCCTCCTTTTCCCCTCCTGCCTCTGCTCTTCCACCCGCCTCACCCCTCCTCCCTGCCACTCATCGTCGTCATCAACATCTCCATCGCCTTCACAATCACCATCATCTTCCTCCATCCGCTTTCCATCCCCTCACCTCCGCTCCCGCTTCTCGTTTCGTCCCTCACTCCTCCGCTTGCCATCCTTGCATCCCTGCCTCCCACCTTCTCTCCATCTTTCCTCGCGGCAGCAGAAGAGGAAGAGCACGACTAGAGGGACTAGGAACAAGAGGGCGAGGAGTAGTAGGAGCGAGCTGGAGGACGAGGAAGTGAATGACGAGGACGAGCGGCAGGAGGGCGAGGAGAAGGCTGACGAGGACAAGGACCTGGAGCAGGACGAGGGCGGGGGTAGTGGGTCAAAGGTGGTGCTATGCCGCCCCGCTGCTGCCGGAAGGGAAACGCAGATGCGCAATTGTGCTCCCTGATTTGGGAAGGCGAAGAGTGGAGCAGACCACTCCAAGCGACCATCGCGGTGAAGCAGACGTATAATCTCCGGCAGTCTCATCAGGCCGTGCAGCCGGCCAGGAAGAAAAAAAAGAAGGCGCTGTGCAGACGTGGCCGAGCCCATGGGTCTCTGGCGTGGCACAGAAAGAAAGGCAGCACCGTGGCAGATCAGCACGAGCGGAGCCCCCGACGCCGTCGTTGTCCGCGGCACGCCTCGGAGCCGTGCCGATGCGCCGCACGGCCCCCGTGGGGTCCGAAACAGGAAGCGAGAGCCCCCGTTGCTGTCACAAAGAACGGCGACGCCAACTCGGCCCCATCTGATCGACTTCCAGACGCCAATCGACGCTGAAGACGGGATTGAGAGGGTAGACCAGGCTCCCATGACTTGCTACCGAAGCCCCCTTTGCTGTCACGAAGCTGCGGCGCCCGATCTCGGGGGAATAGGTCGGGCTCCGGGGGGGGGAGGTCGGGCCATGGACCCGAGCAGAGGCGAATACCTACCAGGCAGCCCGTGTAGCCAGGGCGCACGGCGAGGACGCCGGGGCCTGGTGAAGGCCACTTCGAGGCTGTCCGAGCGGGGCGCGGCCGACAGAGGTGGCCAAGAGTGGGCCGAGGAGGCGAGGACGCCAGGGTACCATTGGGAAGGTGGCCCGTCCTTGCCGTGCGGTTTCGCTGTGGAAGAAGAAGAAGAAAAAGCATTTTGAAGGGGCCCTGGGACACACAAATAAATAGACACTAATAACCTGATTCCCCATATTTTCCCAGAACTTCTGGGTTTTCGTCCTCCCCCCCACTGCCCGTATTCTCCCATATTTTCCTGGGGAATCGACGATGAATTGTGTCTGTTCATCCGAAGGCCGAGGTCTGTCCCGAGTGGCTCCTGCTTCGAGTTGCGCGCGCGCGCGCCTGGGAAACCGACGTCACGGAACCCCACTGGGCGGAGGATGCGGACATCCACATCCGCCGCCCGCCGAGGCCCAGGAAGACTGGCTTCCCAGGCGGCGGATACGGATACGCCCCAGCCTGGAAGAGGTGGGTAAAGCCTGAGATCCGACGTTGCGAACAGCATCGCACCATCGCAGACCACCGCGACCAGCTCTAGACCCAGTCTTGCTGCTGCCTCCTTCGAACTGGATCGGCTCGTGATGGGCCCGGGGCCCGAAACCAGGCGACAGGACCCTGCGCGAAACAATGCGACGACAGGATCTCAGGTCGACCCCCCGGGCTCGGAGGGGCGGGTGAATGCGCGCGCATGTCCTCTTGTCCCCGTGCGCATGGTCAGTCGGAACTCCGCGTGGACTTCTTGAATCCGTGCCGGACCGCCCCCGCCCGGCGCAGCGCCCCCCTGGGGCGGCGGCGCCAGGGCGGCCCCCGGTGCAGATCCAAGCCGTCCGCGCGAAACTCCGAACGCGTATGAGGAAACCAGTGCTCTCTTCGTATCACTAACTGCATGGCCGATTCCGGCAACCCAGAAGCCAAACATGTTGTCGCCTCTTGCGAGGTCGACTTTTGCCTGCGCCGCCCTCCTCCGCCGCCCTTCCGCCGCCTGGCGCCGCGGCAAAGATGGCAACTCCTCCGGCCTTCGAGGGCGAGGCCCTTCTTGGAACGCTCCGGGTATTCTGCTTGTTCCTGTTGTTTTTCTTTTTCTTCTTCTTAGAATTAGAATTATTACTGTTATTCTCAGCATTAGTGTAGTATTATGAATAGAAGCATTATTACTATTTCTACGAATCTTATTACGATTACATTATTGTGTGATTCTGGATCTAATGATTCCCTGCCCTGTGATCCGACGTACTGAAAAAAACAACATCGTAAAAAAATCACGCCCGGCGCCATAGAGCCCATCATCCTGCGCCATTCTCGAGCCGGATCGACCTGTGAAGGCCGGGTGCCCGAACAAAAACCAAGAACGCCCGGCTCGAAAAAATGGAGCCGCCGGGATCCCAGGGATTGCGGTCAACCCGCGTAATACGGATGAACAACCTTCCGAAGGGAAGGCGCCCTTGCATCATTGCCTCCTCGGTCCGTCCTTGGCCGCTTTCGTTGGCCGCGCCCCGCTCGCAAAGTGTCAACACAGCCTTCCAAGGCCTTCGCATCCATCTCGTGCATCTTTTATGGTACGGGCTGACTGCATGGTTCGGCGGCGAGGCCGACCCCGGCAGCAGTGGGCAACAAAAGTGTATAGAATGGTCTGATTTCCATCATTGTTCATTGCATGCAGGTCCTCCCCCTCTTCCCCCTCCTCCTCCTCCTCCTCCTCCTCCTCCTCCTCCTCCTCCTCCTCCTCCCAGCCATTTCGCGTCCGAGCGGCCCCCCCCTGCACCGGGCCCCTTGGACGATACGGCGCGCAAACTTCGAAGTGGCGCTGCGCGCCCGAGTCATGAAGAAGCTGCGCGGAGCCGGAGCCCCACGTCATCAGCTACACCGCTGAGATCAGGCGAACGCGCAGCTGCCAGGATGCCCGCCCCCTCCCGTTCCCTCCTCCTCCTCTCCGTCTCCACCCTCCTCCACCTCCTGGCAGACCGGGGCGCCAGCCGATGCGGCGCCGCGGGCAGAGCGCGGGGACAACAGAGTCGTGATCAGCTACAGCGTAGGGATCAGGCCGTGAGAGAAGACCAGCAGTGGCAGGCAGAGCTGACGCTGCGAGAAAGCACGCGGTGGCAGCCAGAGCTGGCGCTGCGACGGGGGCGAAGGCGCGGGTGGGCCACGATCAGCTACAACGCTGGGGACAATCCGTGCGAGAAAGGGAGCGCGCAGTGGCAGCGGACGCTGGCGCTGTGCAGAATGCGCGGGTGGGCCACGATCAGCTGCAACGCTGGGAATCGTCCGTGCGAGAAGGAGGGCCTGCGAGAAGCGGGAGGCGAAGCTGGAGCCCGAGTGTCTCTACTAGCTAACGCCTCTGGGAACAGCGCGGGTGAGAAAAGCGAGCAATGTTCTGCCGCGGCCATCCTGCGAGAAGTGGGAGGCGAAGGCAGAGCCCGATGTCGACAGCTACAGCGTTGGGATCGGGGCAAGCCGCTGCGAAAAGAGGGAGGCGAAGCTGGAGCCCGAGTGTCTCTACTAGCTAACGCCTCTGGGAACAGCGCGTGCGAGAAAAGCGAGCAATGTTCTGCCGCGGCCATCCTGCGAGAAGTGGGAGGCGAAGGCAGAGCCCGATGTCGACAGCTACAGCGTTGGGATCGGGGCAAGCCGCTGCGAGAAGAGGGAGGCGAAGCTGGAGCCCGAGTGTCTCTTCTAGCTAACGCCTCTGGGAACAGTGCGTGCGAGAAAAGCGAGCAATGTTCTGCCGCGGCCATCCTGCGAGAAGTGGGAGGCGAAGGCAGAGCCCGATGTCGACAGCTACAGCGTTGGGATCGGGGCAAGCCGCTGCGAGAAAAGGGAGGCGAAGCTGGAGCCCGAGTGTCTCTTCTAGCTAACGCCTCTGGGAACAGTGCGTGCGAGAAAAGCGAGCAATGTTCTGCCGCGGCCATCCTGCGAGAAGTGGGAGGCGAAGGCAGAGCCCGATGTCGACAGCTACAGCGTTGGGATCGGGGCAAGCCGCTGCGAGAAGAGGGAGGCGAAGCTGGAGCCACACGTCGTATAGCTAACACCTCTGGGAACAGTGTGTGCGAGAAGAGCGCCATCCTGCGAGAAGTGGGAGGCGAAGGCAGAGCTAACACCTCTGGGAACAGTGTGGGCGAGAAGAGCGCCATCCTGCGAGAAGTGGGAGGCGAAGGCAGAGCCCGACGTCGTCTGCTACAGCGTTCGGAGATGGGCAAGCCGCTGCGAGAAGAGGGAAGCAATGCTGGAGCCAAACGTCACCTTCCTAGCCACCACCGTGCGCTGGGAGAAGCGGGAGGCAAAGTTGGAGCCCGACTCTATCTGGCTACACTCGCTAGAAGCAGCGTGTGCGAGAAGTGCAGGGGCCAACGAACGGGCTCCGGCGCGAAATGGCAGGGCACGGACGAGCTACCCTCAGTTACAGTGCAGAGATCAGCCCGCTGTGCGAGAGCAGGAGTGGAGGAAATCCACTCGTGCGAAAAGGGGGAAGCAAGCAGGCAGTGGCAGCGGGGCTGCCCAAGCGTGCGTGCGAGAAGCAGGCAGTGGCAGCGTGCTGCCACGGCGTGTCTCAGTGTCCTGGGGGCGATCCTCGGAAGATCTCTGGGCGTTTGAGTCGGTTGGGGGAAGGGCGACACCCGACCACCAACCGCCTATTCTGATGCAGCCCCATGTCGCCCAGGAGAGGCCTGGGGGATGGTGCTGTCTCATCGTCGTCGGTCGCGCTCTCTTGCTCCTGGCACGGCTGATCAGGATAGCAGAATCCTCGTAGCAGAATCCTCCTCCTCCTCCTCCTCCTTCTCCTCCTCCTCCTCCTTCTCCTCCTCCTCCTCTCGGGCTGTTTAGTCCAATCCGCGCTGGCGCCGATTGTCTGTCGCAGTGAATCACGGCAGGAACCATGAGTGTCCTTGCCAGCCTACGCGTCCTTCAGGATGCATGGCCTTCTTGCTTGCTTGCTTGCGGGAGAAAAAAACGCGGGCGCCTGTACTTGTCCCCGTCCACGTGCCACTGCCCCTCCGTGAGGTTCGCGCGGCCCTTCTCCTGCGGAAGAAAGAAACGCCCCGCGCGGTCGCTTTCTCTCTGTCTGTCTGTCTGTCTGTCTGTCTGTCTGTCTGTCTGTCTGTCTGTCTGTCTGTCTGTCTGTCTGTCTGTCTGTCTGTCTGTCTGTCTGTCCCTCTCTCTCTCTCTCTTTCTATCTCTCTCTTGCCACCGCTCAGCCGTCCAATCCCCGCGCACTGCTTGGCTTGGCGTGTGATCTTCCTCTGGACGACCCTTGATGCTCCAAAACGATCCACATGTTCTGGCGCTCCGGCCTCGCGGACCTCCCCCAAAAAACGCACGCGCCAGAGCGATGCAAAGCTCCCCCCAAAGGATCCGACGCAGCGAAAAAAATGCAACATCGCGAGGAATCACGCTCGGATGCCTACGCCCCATCCTCCCGCGCCATTTTGCGGGGTGGATCGATCTGCGGGGGCCCTGGGGCCCGAGAAAAGGCGAAAACGCCTTGCTCAATCTCAAAATGAACTAAGACGCCGCGCGGAAAAGGCACGGCATTGGAGCCAGCGGCGCGCCTCGCCCCGCGGGCGCGGGTGGGCGGCAGAGGAGCAGATCGCGGGCCACCTCCTGCGCCGCTCTTCGACAGAAGACCCTGAGAAAAGATGAAACCAGGACGAGGAACAAATCGGGTGAGGATAAATCGAGGACCTCTGAGACCCAGCGGATCTGGAGGCTGTCTCGGGCGCCGCGGCTTTCTCAGAGCGTTCCGGAACGCCCTGAGAGCGTTCCGGAACGCTCTGGAACATATCCATCCTCGTCCTAGCCCCGTCGAATAAAATCCTGGGGTCGCACTCGTTTCTCACTGGGGCGTTTTTGCCAAACTTCGGGCCCCGGGGCCCTCGCGAGTTACTGCACAATTATCCCGACAAAGCAACCTAACAGCGATGTGTATAAGCATATCTGGAAGCATTCCCCTTAAGATTCAGGTGAGAATCCAGTTGTAGAATTCTGCTGTTCTCGCAGTCGCAGTCGCATTCGCAATGACGGTCACAGTGGCAACGGCCTTAGGATCCAATGGAATCCTAAGGATTCCTAGGGATTCCTAAGGCATCCTTAGGCATCCTTAGGAACCCATAGGAATCCTTAGGAAACCTTAGGAATCCTTAGGAATCCTGAATCCTAGGGATTCCTGGGGATTCCTACGGATTCCTAGGGATTCCTACGGATTCCTAAGGATTCCAATGGATTCCTACGGATGCCTCAGCCTGCCTCAGTTTCAGCCTCAGCCTCAGCCTGCCTCGGCTTGCCTCAGCCTCAGCCTCAGCCTGCCTCGGCCTCAGCCTCAGCCTGCCTCAGCCTCAGCCTCAGCCTCCTCAGCCTCAGCCTGCCTCAGCCTCAGCCTCAGCCTGCCTTCAGCCTCAGCCTCAGTCTGCCTTCAGCCTCGGCCTCAGCCTCAGCCTGCCTCAGCCTCAGCCTGCATCAGCCTCAGCCTCAGCCTCAGCCTTCAGCCGCAGCCTTGCAGCCATCAGCCTGCCTCAGCCTCAGCCTCCTGCCTCAGCCTCAGCCAGCCTCAGCCTGCCTCGGCCTCAGCCTCAGTCTGCCTCAGCCTCAGCCCAGCCTCTCAGCCTCAACCTGCCTCAGCCTCAGCCTCAGCCTGCCTCAGCCAGCCAGCCTCAGCCTCAGCCTCAGCCTGCCGCCTCAGCCTCCGCCTGCCTCAGCCTCAGCCTGCCTCAGCCTCAGCCTCAGCCTGCCTCGGCGTGCCTCAGCCTCAGCCTCAGCCTGCCTCGGCCTCAGCCTGCCTCGGCCTCAGCCTGCCTCAGCTCGGGCACTCAAAATATGGCACAGGACTGGTGTTCTGGGAACACGAAGATCACGAAGTGGCCTACAGTTGGCTCGGGGCAATCAGAAGATGGTACAGGAATCGAGTTCTGGGAGCACGAAGAACACGAAGTGGCCTACAGTTGGCTCCGGGCATTCAAAATGTGGCCCGGGAGTGGTGTTCTGAGAACACGAAGAACACGAAGTGGCCTACAATTGGCTCCGGGCATTCAAAATGTGGCCTGGGAATGGTGTTCTGGGAAGACGAAGAACACGAAGTGGCCAACAGTAGGCTCCGGGCATTCAAGATGTGGCCTGGGAATGGTGTTCTCTGGGAACAGAATATGTAGGAACCCATAGGAAACTAGAGGAATCTATAAGAGTCCTGGGGAGTCCCCGGATTCTCCGGATTCTCCCGGCACCCGCCCAGAGAGTCAAGATGCTTTCTTTTGACCCCACTAGAAACCTATCAGTCTTCGCTGTTAGGTTCTTAGCCGTTTTCGGCCTCGGCGGGCCCTCGTTGGGCCTCGGGACCGTCAGAAAACGACTCGGGACGAAGAACAGGTTCTGGGGAAAGGGTCGGGACTTCCAGGGACCTCGTAGGCCGAAGAGGATGTGCGATAAGGATGCAAGCTCCTTGGGCCCTTGGGTGCCCACGTCGCAGCTCTTTTCGAGCGGGGCTGGCCATCGAAATGGATCATGGATGGACCGAAGAGGCACGGATGCGAGGGTGCCCAGCCCTGGGAGGGTTGCCCATCCTTCTCGTCGATCTCGGCCGCATCAACAGGCGACAACAGCTGCAAACATCGGAAGTACGCGTTCCATGGTTCAGCTACCGTGGTACGGATGCAGGCTTACACACAACGAGAAGCCACAAGTATGTGGCCAGAACTTTCTCACGCTGACGATCGGGAGCCTGTCGACGGAGTCCACAGATTAACATGAAAATCTGTGTGATATCCAAAGCAGCTGCGCTTCGTGATCTCTCACTTGCTCAAGGCTTACACGTCTGGCGACTCCCCGCCCTACCCTGTCGCCCCCTCGTTGAAGCAAAGCTGGCACTACGCCCCGCAGTGGCCGCGCAGTGATTGCAGGGCTCCTTCTCGCGGTTCATCCACCTCCCGATTTCCTGCAAGGTGAACGGATGGATGCGGGCCAGAAGGAAAGGAGGGAAACCCGGTGGACTGCAGAAAAGCAGGGAGGAGGACGAAGCAGAGTGAGGGGATCCGGAGCTGAAGGGAAGCAGACAGAACAAGCAGAGGGCGAGAGCGCCAGCCTCCCCCCCCATGGCGTTCCAAGCCTCTGGAAAAAAAAGGTGGCCACCACGCGCGCAACTCGACCACGCAGGGAGCACCTCACGAGGGCCACATGATCACTGTCTCCTCATGCAAAACGCTGTCCCGTCCCTGGGCCTCCACACAGAACCGCACTGCGCTTTTGCAGTGTACAGGTCTCCTGTCACCGTGCAGGCGCCCACCGAGTTCGCAGCACAATGATCAGCACATGCCTTACGATGTGAACGCAGCCCTTCGCGAACCCGAAGCTGTGCCGTGCGCACTGGGTGGAGTGTCCTCAGGTCTCTTCGAACTCACTGCGTTGGGCATTCTAAACCTGATCGGACAAGAACGGGAAGCGCCGCTGTAGTCAAATGGGCGTATTGGGCGAAGAAGAAAGGGAAGGCGAGGACAACGAGGAGTCGATGACGAGGACGGCGTGGCGAACGTGAGGATAGCGAGGAGGAGCATGAGGACAACGAGGAGGAAGAGAAGCACAAGGACGAGGACGAAGAGAACGAGGGCGAGTACGAGGAGGAATGCGGAGGGCGATGATGACGACGACGACGACGACGACAGAGGACAGTAGGAGGCACTTGGAGAAAGACGTTGCTCCTGGTGTCGCGCGGGGTTCTCTTGGGGCCTGTTGGGGGCTTCTTGGGGGCCCCTTGGGTCCTCTTATGGGCTTCTGGGGTCTTCTTGGGCTGTCTGGGCGCGTCGTGGGGTTCTGTGGGAGCTTTCTTAGGCCGTCTCGGCGCTGGGGGCCTCCTGGGGCGCTCCCGGATCTCTCTTGGGGCCTTCTTGGCCCTTCTTGGGCCGTTTTGGGGTTCTTGTGAGCTGACTGGGTGGCTCCTACAGCGCTCTTGGGAATCTCTTGGGGTCTTCTTGGGGCGTTCTTGGGCGCTCCTGGGGCTCTCCGGGGCGTCTTTTGGGCCTCCCTTGGGCCGTTGGAAAACACTCCAAAAGCGATTCGAACACGACGTCGATGCGGAGTCCCCTCTTGGGCCTATTTTTGGAGGATGTCTCGAGAGAAACGGCCATTTTCCAAAAACCCGCCAGCGCAGTTTCAAAGTGCGGCGCGTACCCGATTATTAACTTTTACCACCAACAAACGGTCCACGCCAGGGGCGCTTCCCGTCATCCGCCACCGTGCCGCGAGGCACGAGTTGGAGAGACCTCAGTCCTGTCCTCAGGATTCAATAATCAAAGGGGCCCAGACCCCCAAATCCTATAAATCTCCTGGGGCTCCCGTCGTGCCTCCCGGGCCCTGGCGCGTCTTCTCGCGTGACTTGGTCGGGCCCAATGGGACCCCAACGCGGGCCGAGAGGGCCCCGAGACAAGCACGGTGGCGGGATAGGCCGAAGGCCAGTAGTCCGCCGCCCCCTGTTGATTCATCACAAGGGTGCCTGGCGTGCTAAACCCTCTCGGTTTGGGTTTTGGTTCTTTTTCCAAAAGAACTCCCCCTGGGGCTCCGGCGCGTCCCGCCGGCCACCCGGAAGACCTGGTTGCCAGCGGTTTTCCTGCCCCAGACGGCCCCAAGATGGCCTCCAAGACGGCCAAGATGCCTCCAAGACGGCCAAGATGGCCTCCAAGACGGCCCAGATGGTCCCAAGATGCCTCCAAGACGGCCTAAGATGTACCCTAGACGGCCTAAGATAACCTGAAGATGGCCCAAGACGGCCCACGAGGCCCCCAAGAGGCCTCCAAAAGGTCCTCCAGGAAGGCCCGCAGAGGTCAAAATCATTGATTTTCTTCAGTTTTTGAATGATTTTGGTATTTGCGCCTTTTCGGCTTCCCGACGGCCCCAGACGGCCCAAGAGACCCCCAACCAAGATCGCCCCAAGATCGCCCAAGAGGCCTCCAAGATGGCCCCGTGACGGCCCCAGAGGCTCCCAAGACGGCCCCAAGACGGCCCCAAGAAGGCCCCAAGAGGCCTCCAACACGCCCAAGATGGTCTCCAAGCAAGCCCTGGAGCATTCCAAGAGGGCTCCAAGTCGGCCCAGGGAGGCCCCCCAAACGGCTTCCGACGGCATCAGGCGGTCCAGGAGCCCACCAAGACGGCCGAATATGGACCTAAGATGGCCCAAGACGGCCCAAGAGGCCTCCAAGAGCGCCTCCAGGAAGGCCCGACAAGACATCTTGAGAGCGCAACAGGCTCTCCAGGCGCGCGCTACCCTGTGCTGCGCGCCCTTCCAAGACCTTCCGGCGAAGGTGAAAACAGAGCCGAGGCAGGGAAAACCCTCGGCGCGAGGCGCGCGCGTCAGGACGCCGCCCTCGACCCTCATCTGGTAGCCGCCAAACTAGCGGTCCAGCGCCGTCGTGGTCAAACCAGGGGGAGGTACGTGCCAGCCGCGAGCCCGTAGGATGCGTCGCCAGGCCATCGTCATCTGGCGCTGCGACTCGGCCGTGCCCGAGAGCAGCCAGAAGTTGTCGGCGCAGAGTGGTCCCTCCTCGTACGGCGTCGCCTCGCCTGGGAACTCGTAGCCCCAGCCGCGCGCCCAGCGCTCGTCCAGAAACTCCTCCCACGCGTCGTCCAGCACGAAGTTGAAGAGGATCGCGCTGGCTGGGTCTCCCCGTCGAATGCCGAGAGTCCGAGGTGCTGGCTGCGTCTGGATCGAGCCCATCTTGATCACCGCCGAGGCCTGCAACTCCCTCATGATGGCTAGGATCACGGGCCTCGGCAGAGCCCTTCTTCTCAGTGTCTCCTCGACCGAGCGGTGCGAGAAACGGTCGAAGGCCGCCTCGATATCGCCGTCCATGATGAAGATGGGTCGTATCCACTCGCGGGCCTTCTCCACCAGCATGCGCCTGCTGAAGATCAAGCCCATCGCCTGGTGGAACTTCCGATGGGTGTACTGCGGGCTCCGCAGGGTCAGCTTGTTGCTATATTTCTTGAGCCAACTGAATAGAGCTTCTCGAAGGTGGTCAGGAGCGTGATCGGCCTTTGCCCCTTGAGCGCGTGCTTGTCTCCCTCCTTCTTCATGAACTGGACGATGTGCTTCGACAAGGCTTGGCCCCTGGCGCACTCTGTCACCCCGCGGAAGCGGTTCTCGAAGACGGCCGCGAGCGAGGCGAGGAAGCCCGAGTCGAAGGCCTGCAGGGCCCCGGCGACCACCCCGCCCACACCAGGCGCCTTCATTGCCTTCATGTCGTACAGAGCCTCGCGGGGCATCTCGGGCGAGAAGGGCGGGATGTCGAGCGCATCCTCCGTCGTGAAGTGGGCGAGGTAGGCAGAGGCCCCGACGGGCTCCTCCCCGTCGCTGGCCCTGGAGGCGTTGCCGTACTCGCGCTCCAGAAGCTTCTTGATCCGCAGCGGGTCGCCCTCGATCTCCCCCTCCGTGTTCATCAGCTGGTAGCGGGCCGGCCCAGGCTGAGCTCGGCGAGGTGCTCGTACTCGAGGATTGCCAGCCTCGCGTAGGCCGTGCTGCAGGGCCCTGTTCGCGGTCCAATTCCTCCTGCGAATCCTGATGATATCCTTGCTGTAGATCACGCGCTGTCCGCGGTCGCGGGTGGCCCGCCGGCGCGCCTCTAGCACCCGCGGCGTCTGCGTGAGCTCGCGGCCCTCGGGGAGCTCGGGGACATTCTTCGCTGGCGGGCCCCTGCCACGGGCAGCGGCAGCCAGGTACACCGCGTCCGTCATAGAAGTAATCGGCGCTGGGTTGCGGTCGGCGTGGCAGGCGCTGCGGCTCCAGCGCTGGAACCGGTTGTCGAGGCAGGCCCAGCCCTTCATAGGCGCACGACCTCCGTTCCAGACGTAGCGCCTCCTGGTACCGAGGGTGAACTCCAGCTTGATGGCCGAGTGGTCGGACTGCGCGCTGTCGGTGATCTCCTCGAGCGTAGTGCTGATTTCCAGATGTCGCGAGCAGGTGTCAGGACATGGTCGATCTGGGCTGGCGGGTGCTTGAAATCGCAATGGCAGGCGGGTCCTCTGGCCGCCGCAGTGAACGTGTTCGTCGCCGCAAGGTCGTGCTGCATCGGAAGTCTCGTCTAAATCTCGGCGCGACGCGTGCGCTGACCGACTGGGAAGTCCCCAATCCAGCGCTCCTCGTCCGCCTGCGGGGGGGGGGGGGGGGGCAGAGCCGTCTGCGCGTCCGCGCCCACGATCGGATGCGCCCCAGTCGGCGCCATCATAATCAGGTCGGAAAGCTCCTCCATAGTCCCCGTGCCAGCTGATGGAGCGCCCCGGAAACAGGTGACTGCACATGATCTAACAGTCCTTCTTGCGAGTGCGAAATAGGCGTGCCGCCGAGCGCCCCCATGGCAGCAGATCCCCCCGCAGAAAAAATCTAGCCCAAGAGCGCACCAGCAGCCCAATCTGCTTCTGCCCCTCGACCCGCAGTGTGACCAGGTAGAGGACGCCCTCGCCGACCTCCAACCTCGTGGTCTTGCCCCAATAGCCAACCTCCTGGAGGATGGCCGCGTCGTAGTCGTGCTGCTCGCGCAGCGTCGCCGCGAAGTACTCGGCGCTGTGCTTTGCAATTCCCTGAGCGTTCCAGCTGATCAGATTGAAGCTCATCTGCTCCTCGGACTCCTCTAGAGTCCGCTCCTTGTCCAGTCATTGGCCCGCATTGACGTTTGCCTGGAACGCGACCAGGTTGAGGTTCACACCCGTGCGGGCGCTGATCTCGGCCGCGACGTGCTCCTTGAAACTCCTCAGGCCCGTGGTCCTCACCACCATCTCGCCGAACCTGTGCTGCTTCCACCTGATAATGCCTCGAATGTAGTCCTGCTCGAGGTCCGCTGCCTGCACACCTAGGTTGTCTGTCATCTCTTTCTTCGCACGTGGGATCATTATTGAGAGCCGAATCTCCTCCGAGGACTTCTCCACAGAGAACCAAAACCGTCGACCCAGGTGATGTGGCTGCGGCATAATAGTCAGCCTCCCTTTCATAGAACGTACCCAGGCCCACATTCGCCCCGAGCTCGTAAACCGGACCTCCAGGAAGCTGGCACGATTGAGTGGGACGAACACTCCATCTTCTGTTTTCTCGGGAATGGTGTCGGTGAGCGCGCGAGCTTCGTTCAAGATGGTGCCGCAGGGTGTGTCCCGATTCCAGCCGCCAATGGTCACGCAAATCTTGTCGTTCGCCCTTTTTGGCCCCGACGGGACCGAGTGTGCAGCGCTCTCGAGCCCCGAGACGCGTAGCGGAGGCCTGGCCGAGGAAGCTGCCGTGGATGAGGGGGCCGCCGAGCGTCCCTCTCGCAGGTCCTTGATATCCTGCTCCATGTTGTTGACGCGGCCCTCGTGCCTCTCGACGTCTCTGCGCACATTGTCGATGGACGTCTTTAGGTCCGCGAAATCCTTGGCCATCGGCTCCTTGATCTCTGAGCGCAGCATCTCCCTGAAGTGAACCATCATCGTGTGTCCGTCCATGGGTGCTGCTGGCACTGATTCGCGCGAGCGACTGCGCGAGCCCATCGACCGCCAGCACTATCAGGCAGAGTCGTGAAACAGATGGCAGCTGCGAGCCCCAGCCCACGCTGCAGCGTGAGCCAAAATGGATGATGATGATGATGATGATGATGATGATGATGATGAGGAGGAGGAGGAGGAGGAGGAGGCGAAGGATGATGATGAGGAGGAGGCGGAAGGGCGAGGAGGAGGAGGAAGAGGAGGGGGAGGACGAGGAGGAGGAAGAGGAGGAGGAGGAGGCTCACCAAAGGTGTGCTGCACATGCACATGGACCCGGGCCGCTCCTCGCTGCCTTCCAGCGACGTCTTGTAGAGCGTCACCCACCGGGCGTCCTTCGAGAACATGCTCGTGGCCTCCTCGCGGCAGAACACATTGGCATTAGGTCGGGCGTGTCCTCCTACATGGAGCTTTGGACGATAATTTAAAAATAGTCAAACAAGATTCCCAAATGGTCAGAAATAGTCTAAAAATCATCCCCCGACGATTTTTCTGTCTGTGATTGAATATTCCTCCTGTAGAGGGACATGCCCAACTTAACATTGGCAACGCGCACGAGGGGGTACGGGTAGGGGGGGAGCCCTTCTTAGACGGATGTCGCTTCTTAGAAAGCGGCAGCCTGACATCATAGACAAGGCCCGCGCCTTCTACGAAGCAGGGGGTGCTTCTAAGAAGCCTTGCCCCCATTTCCCCTCCCCTCTTCTGCACGTGGCCGGATAGAAGAGAGCATGAGCACAAGGCGCAAGAGCCGCGCGCATAACAACCCCCCAACCAGAAAGAGAGACGAGCAAAATAGTCGGTCGGCACTGAGCCTGGGTCTAGGGACATGCGCTGAGTCTGGGACTGGAGACACCTCCCCCCGCCCTCCTGGTCCTCCTCAACGCCCTCCTCCTCGTCCCCTCGACCTCCTCGCAGTCCTCCTCGTGCTCTTCCTCGTCTTCCTCGTCTCCTCCTCCTCCTCCTCCTCCTGCTCCTCCTCCTCCTCCTCCCCCTCCCCCTCCCCCTCCCCCCCTCCAACTCCTAGTCCTCCTCCCCCATCCTCCTCCTCTCCCCCTCCTCTCCTCCTCCTCCTCCTCCTCCTCCTCTCCTCCTCCTCCTCCTCCTCCTCCTCCTCCTCCTCCTCTCCTCTCCTCCTCCTCCTCCTCCTCCTCCTCCTCCTCCTCCTCCTCCTCCTGGCTCCTCCTCCTCCACCTCCTCCTCCTCCTTCTCCTCCTCCTCCCTCCTCTCCTCCTCCTCCTCCTCCTCTCCTCCTCCTCCGCCTCCTCCTCCTCCTCCTCCTGGCTCCTCCTCCTCCTCCTCCCTCCTCCCTCCTCCTCCCCTCCTCCTCCTCCTCCCCCTCCTCCTCCTCCTCCTCTCCTCCTCCTCCTCCTCCTCCTCCTCTCTTCTCCTCTTCTCCTCCTCCCTCCTTCCTCCTCCTCCTCCTCCTCTTCCTCCTCCACCTCCTCCTCCTCCTCTCCTCCTCCTCCTCCTCTCCTCCTCCTCTCCTCCTCCTATTGGCTCCTCCTCCTCCTCCTCCTCCTCCTCCTCTTCTTCCCCCCCCCTCTCCTCCTCCTCCTCCTCCTCCACCTCCTCCATCTCCTCTCCCCCCCCCTCCTCCTCCTCCTCCTCCCTCCTCCTCCTCCTCCTCCTCCTCCTCTTCCTCCTCCTCCTCCTCTTCCTCCTCCTCCTCCTCCTCCTCCTCCTCCTCCTAAATACCCTGCCCCCTCCCCCTGCTCCGTGCCATCCGCGCCGCCGTCATGAAACCCTCGTCGAACTCCCCTGCGGTCTGCGCCCCGCCGCCCCCAAGGCACGTGCGCGAAATTTCATGACGACGGCGCGCAGGCCCCGAGGGGCGAAGAACAGCGGGGCGAATGTTCGTCGAGTTCTCGATGGACCTTCGATCTACAGCAGTCATTCATCGATTTCGGCCTCCGGGGGCCGTTTTCGGGCATCAGAACCAGCAGAAACGAATTCGGAATGCAAAACGAGCCCCAGAGAGTTTCCTTCTCCCCCTCAAGCCCAGATCCGCAGGATATCCACTGATTTGTGGCATAAGAGCGTCACGCTTTCAATCGTGAGACTATCGAAATCCAAAGACCATGGCAGCTTGGAGGAAAACATGGCATGTCTTGGCGTGGGCTCCAAGCCTATGGGCCTGTGGGCACGACCCGGCCGCCAACGCCTTGGAGGTGGCAAATGAAGGAGGGAGGAGGGAGGGAGGAGGGAGAAGGGAGGAGGGAGAGGTGAGGACGGAGGAGGGAGAGGAGGGAGGAGGGAAGAGGAGGAGAAGGAGGAGGGAGAGGAAGAGGAGGAGGAAAGGCGGGGGAGGAGGAGAGAGGAGTCCGCCAGACCCTCTGCGGGGACACAAAGTGCCGTAGGCGAAGCAACTACCCTCTGCCACCCAGTTCACCCCCCCCCCCCGAGTCCACTGGCCAATCGATTCCTCTAACGGAATGCGCCAATTAAAACTACAAATACCCCCTCACCGTCCTCCTATGGCTCCGCTCCGTCTTCACCGTCCTTCCACTGACCATTGTCCTGCCCCGACTCCCTCCTTTTCCGCCTCCCGGCCATCTTCCTCCGCACCCTCCTGCTCCTCACCTCTCTTGTTTCAAAGCACTGACGTCATCCTCCTCCTGACCCTCTTGCTCTCCCCCCTCCAACCTCTTTTCCTCTTCCGCATCCCGCATTTTTGTATGCTATTGCTCAACGTCCTCATCCTCCTCATCATTCTCCTCTTCCTGCTCACCCACACCAGCCGCGTGATCTTATACCCTGGCGCCGCCAAATCATCTTCACCTCAACCTCCCCATGCCCATCCTCCTCCTTCAGCCACTCCTCCTCCCTCCTCCGCATACTCCTCCTTCTCCTCCAGCTGCTCGACCTCTTCATCCTACTGCTGAATCCCCCCACCCAAGCTTCCCTCTGCTCTCTCTCTCGCCCTCATCATCCTCCTTCGCATCTTACTCCTCCTCTTGCTGCTCAACCCCTTCCTCCACGTCCTTCCCCCTTGTCCCTCCACGTCGTTTTCCTCGTCCAAGTCGTCATCGTCTTCAGGATCGGCGGCACCGGCCGCGAGGCCTTCGCAATAAATGGCAGGGAGGAGGAAGGGGAGTGAGAGGAGGGAGATGGGGGGGGGCTGAGGGGCAGGAGGAGGACGAAGGAAGGAGGCTGAGGACAAGGAAGGACCAACCCCCAGCAAATCGAGCCGGGCGCCGCAAGCGAACTGGGCCTCGCGCGCTCCCGGGACGGCTCTCGCACACACCCGGATTCCACTCGGCTCCCTGGAGATTGCTCGGGAAGATCTGGGCACCCGCGGAGCGCTCTCGGCGAGGCGCGGCTGCTGGACCGCATCCCGAGGCCTGCACACCGTCGAGAACACGAAACCCGGCGACAACCTCCGAACTCCACCGGCTGCGACGCCGGAGCGCACTCACACGAGGGCGCCGAGTTCCTGCGCGAGGCAAGTTTCTGCCTGCCGATGATGCCGTGGCATATCGTGCTGCTGGCTGGCATGACGAACGCCTTCTCGAAGTGCAACTCCGCGCAATGCTTCTCGTCGAAGGCCAAGAGCTTGGATTTGCGACACGCTTGGTGGTCCGCTGGCGCCTCGACCCCTGCCTGCCCTAGCGGTGGCGCTGGGCAGGGGGGGGAAATTGAAAAGGCGGTGAAACTGCGAAGCTGCCGGGGCAAGCCCTGCGGGAGCCGCCGCGCAGGCTGCTGATCCGCTGTCGACTGTGCTCGACAGCGTAGGTGATGCATTGCATGGCACAGCTTCGGCGAGCTCGCGGCTGCCCCTCTTGGCCAGGCAGGGCGCGCTTCCATTTCGCATAGCACTGGCCTCGCCCACGATGTCCTTGCAGAACATGTCGGGCGCGACGGTCGCCTTGTAGAACTGGTGGATTACCCTCCTTACCAGGCCGAGAGCTTAACCGTCCTCGCCGATTCCGTACTTGTCAATGGATATACGTAGTGATGCTTCTGCTGCACCAGGTGCCAGGATTCCCTCCTTCTCCGCTTCTGCTGCCAACGCTGTCTCCGTCTGTTTCTCCCGCTCTGCCGATTGAGCCGCTCTCTTCCTGTCCTGAGCTTTGTCGATCGTTGAACTCACCGACGATAGGGGACCTCATACTAGCAGCTGCCCCCAATGGTCGCGGTGGCGCAGCAAGTGCCAGCGACTACGCCCCTGATGGCGGACTCGGTCTGCCCTGAGACGGCATGCCTGGCCACGTCGGTGGCATTGTGTTGGGCGGTGCTTCGTCTGCCTCCCTTGGCTGGAGCCTTCTCCGCCTCTTTGCTGTCTTCTAAGTGGCCATGTCTGTTCTGGGCAGAGCGACGTTGGTTGCCCCTCTGCTCAGCGTGCTCTCAGTGGCGAGGTCGAATCCACCGTGAAGATGCCAGCTCCAGGTCTGGCTGAAGTAGGTGCAGCTAGGGCAGCTAGCTCAGCTGACCTGCTGCATGGGGATGGCGTCCACGTCGACATCAGCGAGGCAAGTGGCAGCGGCGTGCTCGTGCCTCCTGCCAGGAACGTAGGTGCGCCTCCCCAGGGAGGTGTTTGCGGTGCTGCTCTGCGCGTTGGCGTTGTGGCTCTTGAGGCGGTTGGCGACACTCGCGGGGTGTTCTGGATCTGCTGCTGCAGGCTCGTGGCTATCCCTGCCATCCGGCTCATCATGGCTTGCATGGGCTCCATCTGGGCGGCCAGCGTTTGCGAAATCACCGCTTCCACAGGGGGGAGCCTTGTGATGGCGGCGGGTGCGCATGTGGCGAGGGCCCAGCAGCCTGCTGGGCACGCGTCGATGATACCAGCGAGAACTCCGGGTAGCCTGCTGCGTGGCCTGGGCGAGGTGAGAGCAACTCCGCAGGGGTCCTCCTCGACGGCCATGTCCTCGTCGGCGGCCACCGCTGGCGCAGTGAGTGCGAGCTCTGGCACCTCTGCTTTGGTGCTGCTGAGGGTTGTGACCTCGTCGTAGATCATGCTCAGCACCTCCATGCCCGTGTCGTACTGTCCCTTGAACGATTGTTGTTGTCTTCGCTTCCGCCCTAGCCGTAAGCTTTCTCACTCTGCCGTCGCAGTATGTGATCTGCTGGTCGTACGGCTCGACTGCCTGCATCATTCTTCGATGTATCGAGCGCTTGGATGCAACCTCGCCGGTGTCCTCTTTCATGTGAGTGGCCAACCTGAGCTGCTGCTGCGAGATCCTGATGCCCTCCTCGATCTTTTGCGTGAGGCTGTTTCTGTTGTCCGCGTCCATGTGCGGGCTGGCGTCTGGGACTTCCCTGTTGCATTGCTTGGTCTGGAGTGCCTCCGCGGGCGCCGCAGCTCGAACGTGTAGGGGTTTTGGCCCTGCCAAAGCCACCTTTTCCCAGTGTGACATGTCCTTCTGATGCTGGTCGGCGGCCCCGTTGATCGTCGCCGAGCCCTTGTTCTTGCTCTTGCCCTTGCCGTTGTTTTCGCCTGGCTGCGTGGGCTGGCGCTGCCTTGCCGCCCAGTGCGTGCCGCAACTGGGGCAGTGCGCATGCTGCATCTCGAACCTGACGCCGCAGCTGCATGTCCATTGTGTCATAGACAAGTGATGTTCTGGCAGTAGCTGCGCAACGCTGCTGACCCTGCGCAGGGTCCTTGCTTCTGCTCGTCGATGTACCTGGCGTGGGTGCCAGGCACGGCCAGCCGCGCCGCCGCCTGCATTGCCCGCGTGCAGCGGGGGGATGGGGATGCGCCGAAGGTCCCCCCGCTGCGAAGGCCGCTGGCGCGGCCGCAGTGCCGCAACCATCGGCATGGGGCACGAAAGCGCAGATGGTCCCCTGACGCGAGTACCACACGGCCACGCGGCGTGCGTAAGTCTGGCCTCCCTTGCATCCGATCGCGATTGATCGTACGAGGCGCGAACGATCAGGGCCAATGATCGCTGTCGGCCCCGCCCGGTAGATGCCACTTGCGTGCAGGGAGTGCCCGCAAATGGCTTCTTCTTCTCCTCCTCCTCCTCCTCCTCCTCCTCCTCCTCCTCCTCCTCCTCCCTCCTCCCTCCCTCCCTCCTCCTCCTCCCCTCTCCCTCCTCCAGCAGGCTCTCGCACGGCTCTCGCACGCGCCTGGCTGGCGCTGGGTGCGTGGCGGGGGCTCTCCTCGAATCTCCCTTCGGCCCGCAGCATGCTGTATCTCTCCAGGAGCTGCGGCGGCGGGCTCGCTTTCGCCAGATCCTCGTCCTCCTCTCCGCCACTTCAGAAGATAGTGTCTCAAGGGCGCTGCCCACCTCCTCATCCTCATCATGTTCATCATCATCCTCACTCTCATCCTCCTCCACATCCTCATCCTCATCCCCACCCCCCATCCTTCTCCTTATCACCATCAGCAGCAGCATCATCAGGAGCAACATCACCATCACCATCACCATCACTATCACCATCAGCATCAGCATCATCAGCATCAGCATCAGCATCAGCAACACCATCATCACCATCATCCTCATCATCCTCATCATCAACAACAGCATCACCCTCACCATCACACTCACCACCATCATCGTCACCATCAACATCAGAATCATCACAATCACCATCATCGGCATCATCATCAGCAGCAACAACAACTGCAGCAGCACCAGCATCAGCATCATCAACAACATCAGCATCAGCATCAGCATCATCATCATCAGCATCATCATCATCATCATCATCCTTCTCATCCTCATCCTCATCCTCATCATCATCAGCAGTATCATCAGCATCATATCCGCATGGCTGAGGCTGAGGACTGAGGCCCAGATCTGGTATGGCGTGAAGGTAGTGTGCAGCAAGTAGTTCCCGCCCTGAGCCGTTGAGGCCGCCAGGCCTTGGCGGCTGTGCGGAGCCGCCGCGGCGGCCGAGGCGGGCTAGACTGGCCGGCCCTCGACCAAACCCATCATCATCCACATCAGCATCAGCATCAGTATCAGCATCAGCATCAGCAGCATCATCATCATCATCATCATCATCATCACCATCATCATCATCATCATCATCATCATCATCATCATCACCACCACCACCACCACCACCACCATCATCATCATCATCATCATCATCATCATCATCATCATCATCGTCGTCATCGTCATCGTCATCGTCATCGTCATCATCATCATTACCACCACCACCACCATGATCATCATCAACACCATTGTCATCATGATCATGATCCTGCTCATGAGCATGATCATGATCACGTGTATCATCGTCGCCATCATCACCATCATCATCATCAGCATCACCAGCATCATCATCATCATCATCATCATCATCATCATCATCATCAGCATCAACATAATCACCACAATCAGCACTAGCAGCAGCATCATCAGCATCATCCGCATCAGCACCACCACTATCATCAGCACCATAATCGTGATCATGATCATGATCATGATCATCATTAGCATCCTCGTGATCATCATCAGCATCCTCATTGTAATCATCACCATAATCATCACCATCATCATCAGTAGCAGCATCATAATCATCAACATCCGCATCATCAGCATCACAAATATTAGCATCATCACCACCAGCATCATCATCATCACCATCATCATCAGCAGCAGCATAAGTATCATCATCAGCGTCATCATCATCATCAGGCTCCCCCCCTTCCCTCATCATCTTCGTCACCCCCCAGATCCTCCATCTCCTCCATCTGGTCCACGTCCTCCTCATCCTCCTCCTCCCTCCCCATCCCACAGACATGTTCCTTCTCCTGCTCGTGCTGCTTCTCCTCATTCGCCTCCCTTTCATCCTCCCTCGTCCCTCCTCCTCCTCCTCCTCCTCTTCCTCCTCCTCCTCCTCCTCCTCCTCATTCGTCATCGTCCTTCCGCCCACAGCTTCTCATCCTCCCCCCCTTTCCTCTAGGGCCTCGTGTGCCCGCCTTTTTCCCTGCTTGGCAATCTCTTCGGAAAGCTTGACGGGCAGCGGTTCATATCAACAAAAATCCTCCTCCTGCTCCCGCTGCTCCTCCTCCTCCTCCATCTTTCCTTCTGAACAACTCCCCCCCCGCTTGCGCCCACGACACAAGCGACAACCCTCATTCGGCTTTCGCTCGAGCGCCGCGCACAATCTTTTATTCACCTCGTAGAACTTGAAAATATAGATGACCAATCTTCCGGTGTTCGTAGTGCGGCTTTCGCCGTAGCGCCGTGCACAATCGGTTCTGAAAGCTTCCACCAGTTACAGTGGTGGAGGGCCAGTCGTTTTCAGAGTGCGGCTCTCTCCTAGGGCCACGCACACTCATTCGAATAACTCCCAACATTTACCATGATGGGGGCCCGTTCGCTTCAAGCCAAGACCGACCGAGTTTGACCAGATTATCGCCAAATCTTCCTTCCCCTCCTCATCCTCACGCTTCTCCTCATCAACAAGCCCTCTTCCTCATGATCCAGACGCCCTCGTCGAGCCACCAGTCGTGTCAGTAGAGGGGAATGAGGTTTTCGCCCAAGACTTCCTCGGCGCTCATGGTTGCGTCATTGATGCATTATTCTAGTTTAGACTGGTCCTCCTCCTACTGCTGCTCCTCCTCCTCCTCCTCCTCCTCCTCCTCCTCCTCCCCCTCGATCCTCGAGGTTCGAGGACCGGTGGTTGATGTGCTTCGGGCCCTTTTGCGACCCTCCAGAAGCCTTTGGAGGCCTCCAGGGACCCCTTGGGACTTTCAGGGACGCCTGGGGATCAGGATCGAGGGCAGCACTAAAACTTACCACCACCACCACCACCTCCTCCTCCTCATTCATGTCAAACCCACTTAAGAGCAGGAGGAGGTCAGGTCAGGTCAGGCATTCCTCGAAAGCTCCTCGTGAGAAGGCTACCGGGGGAGCGAGGCACATAAGCCACAGCCCAGAGAGCAGGAGGACGAGGAGGAGAAGGAGGAGGAGGATCAGACGGACAACATTTCGTGTTCCTGCTACACTCAGAGGCGCCGGAAGCTTCATAGGATTCATCAGTGGCCAAGACAACAAGCAATAACTACGGCAAGTGGTAGTGCCAGAAAGCGACCCATTCGCAATCGAGCAAAATCATGATGATGAGGAGGATGAGGAGAAGGAGGGGAAGGAGGATCTAACATCCGCGGCTGGCAATCTCCCCAGCGGCTCCGCCCCAGCCCCTCTCCGCAACCCGTCGGACAAGATGAGAGCGAGAGCACAACGCAACGGCACACGAACCTGGCGACCGCCGAACCAACACCGCACCTTCCTGGGCGGGGTTGGCTATCGCGCCCCTCCTGTCGGCGATCAATGGGCGATTGATGCATTCCCTCGGGGAGACGTAAGACTTGGGTAAGGGGGACTCGGGTTGGCCTGACGGGGGCCATCACAAAAGTGACGAGACCCAATCTGAAATTTGACGCGAAGCTTGGAGCATGCTGCCGCATGGTGCTTGGAGGCGCTGCGAGCTCCTTGCATATGGCCCATTCTCTGCGCTTCAGCCCCTGATCATTGGCAGGTAACCCCGCTGGTGCTGCCGTAGCAGGTCTCCCTGCATTATTTGCTGATTCGGCTACCAGGGGGCATAGGCACATCTGTGGCAGGCGTCGTAGCTGCCGCTGCCTGTGCCACGTTTGATGATGACGCAGGTTGCCCCGCAGGTGTAGGCGCGGCAGCTGTATTGCTTGCCATCATCGCCGTGATGCGGTTGAGATCTTCACGAAGATCTCTAAGCTCATTGGCCCCGCGGAGTATCTCCTCATGACGATTTTCTGCATCCTGATATCCAGCGGGGGCGTAATGAAACTCAGCTGCGATGCGGCCAACGCCCCGGCAAATAGCACAGGGTGCCTCGCTCGCGGCACCTTCCAGAGCGCGTGCCAGCTGTCGGTCCACATGTGCGCGAGCAACTCGATTCTAGCATTGTGCGTGGAAAATGTGGCCACGCTGCAGCCTCCACACCTTGCCGCTGTGTACGAAGTCATCCAGGCAGATGGTGCACTTGTTGAAACCACCGTCACTGATGATTGGCGGTGTTGCCGATGGCCTGATGCGCGTCTGCCGCTGCAGCGTGGACCCACCAATCTCGCATTGGATCGGTGAGGCCGTTGGCTGCTGCACTGCAGGAAATGATCTCACGGCTGCAACTGAAGCCAGGCAGAAAGCAGACATCTCCGCAGGCACAAGAGTAGCGGGTTGCCCCGCTCGACCCATCATACGGCGTGCCTGTCGCTCGTGATTGCGCCGTTGGCGAGCCATTGGCATGGTGAAGTTGGCCTGCTGCGCCTCGTGGATGGTCAGAATCTCGGGGCGCAGATCTACCATGGACGATAGTACCACTAATCCGGGGCCATGGTGTGCAGCATCAGGGTCCATGGGGGGCCGTCAAGTATCCGCGGTGAGGTACATGGCCTAGTCCCCCGGGCTCGTGCCCGGCACCACGCGTCAACTGGAACTGGTAAAAGTCGTCAGCTGTTGCCCGAACGCACGGGCTGCCCGGCTGAGAACCAACGCGTAGACCGCCCGTCTCCTGAGCGTAATAGCCAGGGAACATCGGTGCATCCATTGGTGGTGCACTTGGTCGTTCAGCAGCCGTTGGGTGGCACGTCGGGTGGCTGAACAATGCTGGATGGTTGATCCATCGGGTGGCACGTCGGGTGGCACGGGAGGTCAATGCCATCCCGACGCGTGCTCTGCATGGCCTCGCGCATCTGCCTGTGCATCCACTGCTGCTCACCTGTCATGCTCTCAGCGCTCTGGGCAGCTTCATGGTCAGAAACAGCAGGTTGCCCCGCAATTGGACGCGGCGATGCAAATGGCGATGTCGCTTGCGAGGCCTGATAGAGCTGAAGGTGCACTCTAGTGCTCTGAAGCCTGGCCTACAAACTATTGGTACTCCCAGCACTCTGTGGAGTTCCAAATGGGGTCGTAGCCCTACTCGTGGGTACGAATGACGCAGGTTGCCCTGCAGGTGCAGGCAACGGCTGCGCCTGGGCGCGCCACGGGTTGTTTGCATGCAGCCCGTCGTTGAGCGTGATCTCGTTGGATATCATGCAAGTCCGAACTCTGGGTCTGGATTTATGATCCATCTGAACCCCCTGCAGGTGCCCCCGCCTGGTATCGCCCTTGCATCATAAAGATAGCGGTGAATTCGGCCCCTTGCATGGGTGTCGGCGCGGGGACCTTCAGATTACAGGGAGTCTGAGGTATCATCCAATTCCTTAG